AAAAGATTGAAGAGGTTTGTGGAATTGAACAGAAAGAACGCAAACAAAAAGCCGCCGCGTGAGATGTTATATACCTTGCACTCCCACCTCGTACCTCTCCCCCCCTCTCTGCTCTTTTTCACTCTCCACCTCTCAGCTCAGCTTCCTGGTTGTGTCCGTAGGAATTACTCAATGGGTAGTAAGTGGACGGCACTCGTTCCGTCCGTTTCCCCAGACCGGAAGCAAAGCCAAATGGTGAAAGCAGTCAGCTCGAAGGTCCACTACCGATAGTGCCACAAGCTTCTTTCCCCGGATTTCGCTTTTCACACCGCAGGCAGTAGCGGAGATATCAGTTCATGCATCATCGCCATCTTCTAAGTTGTGTCTCAGGTATGAGTGATCAAGGATAACAGGGGGCCCTGGACGAATAGCGGGGCTTCAAGCATCTTGTAGCGCGTGCTCTCTTCTCCCCTGAGCTTTGGCGGACTTGAGCTCTTGCACTCTAGTCTCTAGCTCTTGAAGTCTGCTCTGGATAAGAAAGGGGAGAGAGAGAGGAAAAAGGGAGCCACAGCCGCGACAGCCGTCCTCATGATCAGGCCCGCCCTCCTCTCTTCCTGGAATTCGCCATGGGGCCACCCAGGGCCGCCCCAAGTGCAAGCCTAAATATGCCCAAAAGCAATATCTCAACTAATGAAAAGTCTCCGCCTGAGTTGATGAGGTCCGAGCACGCGGCCAAGGAAGGAACTAATCTTTTTGCTGCATCGAAGATCTCCTCGCTTAGCCCACCCAGGGGCTCTCCAGGGCAGCTTCCCAGGGTAAGCTCAGCCTCTCAGGGCCCAACCCTTTGGGGCTTTCAGGGGCGCTATCTTTAGTTTGTCGGATGGCACCCAGAGCTGTGGTGGCTGCATATCTGAAGCGAACTTGTTTGGGTATGCCCAGCCGGCCACTCGTAGTACAGTTACTGTACTGGTGGTACCTTACCATCTTACGAACTACGGTAGGCTTAAGGAAGACGAGTCTGCATGAGATTTCCCATGCTAACAAATCCGATCAAAGCCGGCACAGACTAGCAGGCCACCCCAAAAATCAAGGATATCGAGCGTCGAATGAATCAGTCAGTCAATCATCATACAGCATCATTCTTCCCCCCCCCCCTTCAAAACTGCTTGCACGGGATCAACTTCCTTGCTGTACTTAATTTACAAGAACCAATCGGTCACTAGCTGGTATCTCATTCATGCAAGTCTGTAAGAGAACTGCAGTAGATACAACGCAGCTTGGCTCCTCTTCCTCCTGTCACTACGACCTGTGTCAGACCGCTGTTTGACTTTATCGAAATGCCGTCATGCGATCCTATCCATTCCTTTTCGTCGCTTACAACTCCTCCTTGACCTTGTCCGACGCCTTTTGACCCGCTTCGCCAGCGCGGTTAGTGGCTGCCGTTCCTGCTTCCTTCACGTGGTCAGCTCCCTTTTGCCCTTGATACTCAGCCTCTTTGCGGCCACTAGCAGCTCCAATCTTGAGTTGATCAAGAACCCATTGAGCACCGTTTTGTAGGCTGCCGAATATGCCGGCTCCAGGGGTGTTTGTGCCGTGGCGGAAGTATTGAGCATTGCGACGGGCCATAGCCTTGAGTTCATTTGTATTGCTACCTTGATAGTTTTTAACACCGTATGAATCGAGATATGACTTGAGGTCAGAGTCGGACCAAGTATCGAACGTGTTTTCCTTCACGGCATCCGTAGATGCTGCAAGGTATGAAGTGACCGAGGCGTAGTTGCTTCCTCCTGATTTGGATGCGCTCGAATAACTGTCTTGGGCTTGCTTAAGGAGATCATCACGAGTCGCCCCAGCCTTGTTCGCAGCCTTCTGCGCAGCCTTGTCATTTGAAGAGGACAGGTATTTCCTAAAAAAAAGCAAAACAAAGAGATCAGCGTGTTTCACAACATATAGCCGCGCCAAAGGACTTACTTCAAGTTATCGACAGTCCAAGTGTCAAATGTCCATGCAGACCAGCCAGTTGACGCCTTGTGCTTGTTGAGGCGGACTTGCTTCATAAGCTCGTCTTTCTTGCCGCCTTGAGGGACGGGTACACCCCGAGCATCAAGAAATGCCTTAAGCCGGCTGTCACTCCAGGTACCAACGGCTTGGTTGAAAGCGTCCTCTCCCTTGAGTTGGGCATCATCAGTGGATTGAGCGAATTGGTTGTTGGCTTTGGTCGTTGCAGCCCCGAAAGCGCTTGAGACTGAGGAAGCTGCGTTATCACCGGTCAGGGCACTGCGATGCTTGCGTGCGAGCGCCAGAAGTTCATTCCGCTTGGATCCTTGAGGCACTTTGATACCGTTCTTGTCGGCCCATTCCTTGATCTGGGAGTCGCTCCATGAGTCGAGAAGGGCGTCGCTCAAACTCTCTTTGGCTGCTTGGGCAGACTTCGAGGCGGAAGCAGCGGTGTCCTTGAGATTGGTGCTAGCGAGGCGTGAGTTGCGGCGGACCGAAGCAATGAGCTTGTCACGGGTGCTCGGCTGAGGTACGGGCACTCCACGCTCATCGAGGAATTCTTTCAGGTCAGATTCGGACCACGTCTCATACAGCCAGTCGCCAGGATAGTGGACGGATTGTCCAAGCTTTTTGGCGACTGAGTCATAATTTGATCGAGCTGCTGCGATCATGGTGTCGCGCTTGCGAGGCTGAGGAGCCGGAATATTGTTTTTGTCGAGGAAAGATTTCAGCTGAGAGTCGGTCCAGCTGCGTAATGGATGTCAGTAATAAATGTGAGTAGTGAGGAATCGAGGAATACCTATCGAAAACCCAGTCCTTCACAGAATGATAGGATTCCGAGGCAGAGTCCGCACTATCCGTCCAGTAGCTCTTGACCGAGTTGACCAAGCTGTTCTTGTTCGAGTCCGCGGCTTTCTTGCTATCGGCTCCCTTGGACTTGAGATACGACTGAAGCTGGGGAGTATCCCAGTCCTTGTACGGGGTAGCAACTTTTTCATTCCAATTGCTCTTCACAAGATTCTCGAGATCTTTGCGGTTTGCGGGTGTAGGGTACGGGACATCGTGGTCTGAGAGCCAACGCTCCAGCTCGGTTTCATGCCATTTGTTATATGCTAACGAGGTGGATTAGACTGGCTCGTGAGAAGACACGCGTACATGTGCATGGAAATATATATGGATGGATTGAGTGAGGATGGAGCTGAAGATCCTTGTGACGTAATTGGTCATGGCAGAGCATTCCCGAACCAGTATTCGATGAGGGAGGTACACTAGATAACAGGGGAGCAGAAATGAAATGAGAACGAACCTGCCGTGGTAGCACCACCGAACCAACTGCTTGCTACAGTTGACTCTGTTGCCAACGCGAACAGCAAGACGGAGGAAAGGGAAATCTTCATCTCGTATCACGGTTGATGTATGTGCCTCAACTGCAATAAATCTATGGAAGGGTTCGTCAGAAGGGATCACGGTAGGAGGTAAGCTGTCAATGAGTTACAGAAGTGGTTGATGAGGAAGTGAGGTCTGTGTTGTGGAGTAGAAACTTCCAGCAAAAAACGGGGAAGCTGTTAGCGCGAAGGAGCCTTGCAAAAAAGTGACGTAGCCGGGCAGCCACGAAATGACAACTCACGCGTTCACCAGTTGGCCTGGCGCGTTTCGGCCTTCTGCAAAACTGTTGCTTTTACAGGAAGTTGCGGCACAATGTTCAGAGCTAATTCTCGGGGCTCAAGCACGAAGAGATTCAGTCAAGCCACACTCGTTTCTGGGGCTACCAAGATGACTGGTCATAAAGGCAGATAAGCTTGTCATCACCATAGCATTCTATTTCCTGGCTGCCCCGTATTGATGGAGGGCATTGCAGTGAAGATACGTCCTTGACTTTCATTGCCTGTCAAACAGAACATGCTGCAGCAGTAGGAGCAGTAGAGCAGTAGAGCAGTAGGAAGGGTAGAAGGGTGTTCCCCGTCGCCCTTGGTATGTCTCCTATCGTACACTTCCACCTCGCATGCTTGCCCATGTCCCTTCAGCTCAAAGTGTCCCTTCCCATCATTCCATCATGGATTCCTGTCGGCACCACCTTGACCTGCAAGCAGTCAGCAGAGTCCAGGAGAAAACGTAGCCAGCAACTTACCACTCCAGTATCCCTTATCCACTTTGTCCTCCTTATCGACGCTTTTCTCATTAGGACGGTCATGCCTCTTTTCCATGTCCTCGTTGTGCGCTCTCACCTCGTCACTGTGAGTGTGCTCTTCAGGCGCATCATGCTTGTGAATCTTTGGCTGTGGCCCGCCTCCCTCTCCTCCACTTGCTCCTCCACTCCCACTCGTACTGGCCTGACCACCGGAGTCACTCTGCTGCGTATTGTGACCTTCACTTCCCTTTTTGGTAGGTCCACCTCCTGTGCCTTGACCGACTGACGGAGGAGGTGGGCCCGGGTGCTCGAGGTCGGCCGAGGGGTTCGAGCCTTGGTCTGATGGGTTCTCGCCCTTTGGGTCGCCTTCTCCACCGCCGTAGGAGGAACCGCCAGCGTAGAGACGGTGTTGCTGGGCATAGGCTGGTGCCAGGAATGATTGAGGGGAAGAACGGATTGTGGTGATACGTGTGACAATTGGGGTCATTCGTAGTCGTGTCATGGTTGAAGTATAAATGGTATTGATGGGTGCCAGATTGGATGGTTGATTGCAGAAGGCAGGTATTGGACAAGTAGATGGTTGATGTGTTTGTTTGAAGTCTGAATGACTTCTTTATTGAAAGTAAAAGCTATACGAGAGAATACAGCTCATGTCACCAATGTCGAAAAGTCCGGAGCTCCACGTCAATAAAACGTTGATGACGTAGTTGACAACCGCTTGCCCGACCGAGGGACCCAAAAATAACATCCATCCCACAATCCTTCGCCAAAATCAAAACTCCTGTATCCTCAACTTCTAAACATCGACCTTTGAACCCATCTCTACCGACCTCCATATCGTCTGTCCTGGCGTCAGTCTTTGGCATCTCGACTTCTTGTAAAGAATGCATACCGCTCAAATTGTCTTGCAACGACTCACATCCTCCAATGGCTCTGCTAAATCTCTCGAATCATCCGAGCTGACCGTTGACTTTGTCGATGATGAGGCCGATGTGCTCTCGTAGCCCTCGTCCATCCTCAATGCCTTTTCACTCAGTTCGAAGTCTTGGGCTCCATCTAGCCGTGCGAAAATTTGCCGTGTGGTGTTCTGGATGTTGAACATGATGTTGCATCGCCTGCTGTTGCTCGAGTGGATGGTCCTGTTGATCTTCTCCAGTTGCTGAATGTCGTTGGTAAATTTTGCTGCGAGTTCCTTCCAGCGGCAGCTCCTCACGTAACGCTGCCATCTGCCAATGTGGTCGTTTCCGAGATGGTAGTCCTCGATGTGGTCCATCACCCAACTCGGGTTCAGTCCGGATGCATCGATCATGCCGTCAACTCGCTCTCCGATTTCGCGATCACCTAGGTCAAGATTCTCAGCAGTCTTCTTCGTCAATGATTTTGTTGCCCTTACCGATTTCGTGCCCCGAAAGGAGACATTTTCCATACTGCAACCAAGTCTCGTCCTTCTCCTCCATCGGGGTAACTCTCATCAAGCAGTATTGATCGAAAAGCTGCTCACGCAGAAACTTTCTCAGCTGGGAGACGTCGGATGTCAATTGCTGCTGGGCATGGGCAACTCGGGCAACATGAGTGGTGACTTCATTGTCCATGCGACAGATCTGGGTCCATCTTGGGCGGGGGTGTTTGCCGACAGGAGTGCATATGAAGGTGTGGTAGGCTGAGTAGATCTCCATGAGCCGCGTCCTGAAAGTCCTCTCGATCTTGTCGGTGCCTTGTAGCGATTCGTACTTTTTCGTTCTGAGTATGGCTTCTTTGATTTCGTGCAACTCTTTCTCAGTCGGTTGGCGTCGGGAGTGAGTGGCACCGGACTCGTCTTCTTCTGGTATGGTTTTCATGGGGTTCTTCGCTAGCTCATCCACATTCTTGACGAACCGGTGTCTGGTTTGCAGGATGTCCACGACATCTGCCGCGTCCTCGAATGCGATCGCAATTCGTTGGCGGTGTAATCTCAGGGCGTCGGATCTCATCTTGTGTACGTTTTCTTCTGTGGCGGTTTTTGAAAGGTAGTTGCTGGTGAAGATAAGTTTTCGCTTTGCCATGGACAGCTCGTATTGACTGGTCATCTCGGTCCAGAGCTCATTGTTGGAGGTCCGTGAGGGCTTGGACTGACGGTATGTGAGGAAAGTCCAGCTGGCTGGAGGGTAGGCAGACGCGTGGAGGGTCATGTAGTCTGCCATGATGGCGGAAGAGAAGTGATGTTGTTGAGCTGGTCGATGAGTGATGTGTATAAGTGTTCCGAGAGGCGCTTGATACGGTTTGTCTTTACTTCGTACAGTGTATGGAGATGTGGAAGTGTGAAGATCCATGTGGGCATTCTCCCTACTCTTTATACCATCCTAGTGGCCTCTCTGACTCATTTTATTCCCTCAATATATTTGTATAAAAATTTCTTCTGAGAGATTTCTTGGCTCCGAAATCCGCCCTTCAGAGTGGTACGCTGAGTCTGTTACCCTATGCCGGAATTCCGTGCCAACAGTTCTCTTCCAGACCATCACACTACCGAACAGAGATCTTTTCTACCACCCTGTCCCAGCTCAACTTACATCGCCTGTGCCCAGATGCCCAAAATGAAGGCATCCTCAAAGGGCGTCGAATAGGGGTCCCTTGGCATGCCGAAGAAAATTTCTATCCCACCCTCTCAAAATCCAAGACTCCCTCACTCTCAAAGTTCCACCCTAGGGATAAATTCTAAAAGAGCAAGTTACGTGACTCACACCCCTTTCTCTGTTGCCGAAGTGCTCCCAAGGCTCATTTCTCAAGATAGGGAAAATCGACGCATCTGTTGTAGTGAGTGAGTGAGTGAGTGGTTCGCATGATTGATTGATTCCACATGCAGCTACTTTGACATCGCATCCAAATATATCACCGCAATGGCAGCTACCGATCCCTCGCAGCTTCTGGCACGCAGGCTGGGTCATTTTTTGGTTGTCCAGGATGGTGTGGCTTCTTCCACCTTTATCTAGAACCTAGGCCGAGAGGTCTTTACAGCCAAATCCTCTCTTTCTCTCTCTCTCTTTTGACTTTTCTCATCTGTGTGGAAAAGATCGGTTCCCGACACGACTTCCTAGTACTGTTACATGGCCATCCTACGGGAAGAAAAGCTAGCAGCATGCTCGAATAGTCTCGAGTCCTCGTTCGTGAAAATATCCAACGCGCCGCCAATGCCTACTGATCTTCTCAACAGCTCCTGGGTTTTGGATTTGGATAGCATGGATAGACAGTACTGGAACATCCGTAAACAATGCTATCTATCTCTGCACGGCACAGCGTCCCCTGACATCGCGGTCGTGTAGACTTCCTGCCGACCTCACGCTCCCCTCTCCGCGCATCATCGACCGGAGCCAGAATGTTGGTATGGTGTGGCCGTGTAATGCTCCCCAATGGCCTTGCTAGCGGACGTTACATTGGCCGTGTTATCTCCGTTCGGCTTTGCTGGTTTGAAAGCACCCCCCCACTCCCTCCCCCTTTCACTGCTGGCACCTGCAGTATCCATACTGCGCGGGGTTTGCCCCTCCCAACCTCCTCTCTCCTCCCCAATATTTCGCTCGTTGCTCTGCGGAGAGAAGTCCTGACCTGGAGGCAATGAACAGCGATCGAACAACGGTGTAGGGAGCGGGGGCCCTGGAATGACCGAAGGTGGTTTCCGGCCATTTCGGTGTCACTAGTGGCTCGCTTTCGCCATCGTAGAACGCGTAGCGTCTCAGCCTTGTTTCTTCGAAACTCTGCTCTGCACGGTTGCAAAAGCCAGGGATGCTAACGAGGACGCATGTAGTATCCGGAACGCCAGGCACGATCGTTTGTTCCGGGTCACCAAAGGTGGACAGAGCTAATTCGCCGACTTGCGGTGGATTGCGAAGGCCAGCAGCTGTGCCGACTGCTGGAGATGGTGTTGTTGCGAGAGGACGGGATGTGCAAGGTATTGAGCCAGATGCGGAGCCAGGGAACGGAGGCTTTGGTGCGTCGAGACCTTCCGTCTGAAAAGCACGGGGCCAGAAAAAAGAGAGGCTGCGCGGCGTAGAACTGAACTGGAGGTTCGTCGAGGACGTTGGCTTGGACAGTTGAGGCTCTGCTTGTACTGCCAGTAAGGATACCCGAACAGTGAATTTCCCCATCAATTTGGAAAGCGCTGGGCGTACGACTAGCTTTCCCAACTGGCGGGCTGCTGACAGTTTGTCGCGGAAGCAGCGACGCACCAGGCGCAACTCCTTCTACAGTCAGTCCAAGGTTGGCCAATTCTCTAGTCGAGAGGTGTAGGCCCCTGGACAGGTTCTCAATGGCTTTCTGCATCAATTTCTTGCATCTTTCGTGCTCGGTCGCCAGTACATGATGCTTCTCGTGCTTTTCCGTCAGAAGCCGACGACACTCTTGTGCCACTTGGAGCCCGACATGAAGGTTGAGGTTTCTCTCGCGGAATTGATCTAGCTCTTCCTGAAGCAAGTGTACTTCACAGCTTCAAAATGTGGGTCTTGATTGAGCTTGGGCTGGCGGACCTCATCCTCGAGTCCAGCGATCTGCTTAGGCGGCTGGTCTTCGACGGCGCTAGGTGGTCCTACAGTCTGCTGCGGATCAATCAAGGCTGCTGGGAAGGTGGAAAACATGCCTTTTTCAACGAAGTTGGACGATCGTCAAATTTTTTGTCGGTCGAGTAAGGTTACCGGAGAAGCGGAAGACATGGCTCCTTCGGAAGCTCGTGGCGATATGTGTGTAGCCTAAGAAGGGAATCGAAGCCCTTGTATCGGTGGAGGAGCGCTGGAAGACGATTGATGCTTGAAATGGCAGCTCAAGCTTAGGGGTACCTGTTGGCTTGTGGAGTTATCATGATCTAACAGCTACGAGAACTCAGCTCTTTGTATATCACAAGGCCCTATGTTAAGAGACTAGGCGAGGTGTTGAGGGTGAGATCTATCAGTAGAACCGTGTAGCAAAGATGCGTGGTAGTAGACATTTTGGAAAGGATTCGTACAGACGCGATTACCGGCACCCCGGATCATGTAGTAATCTCCATCCCAGGCATCCCCTCTACCCCCCCAACACTGCCCCAAAACCCCTCAAAATCGACCCCTTGTTCCTCAAACTCCTCCCTAATTTTCTGCACCGCCTTCTTCTGGCTATAAAGATTTCCAAGTCAGTGTCTCTTCTTCACGGCAAATATCCGAGTAGTGGAACAGCCCAAGAGAATGAAAAGAACTCTTTTGTGCCCCAAGCGTGATTCGCTGCTCGAAACGTGGTATGAAAATGTACATACCGCTCCCCCGTAAATGGCCCCGTCTGACTCGTCTCACTCTGCACAATCTCAATCCACCGAAAGAACAAATTCTCCTTCCCCATAGCCGTCAAATGATTCTTGATCAACTGCAGCTTCCTCGTGCCTTCATCTCCTGCGCCTTCTTCCTGCTCGCGCCACACTTCCCAGATCAGCCAGCCCGATTTCTCGCTGTGGACCAGCACGCTTGTTCGGAAGTCGTCGATCTTGTTCTTGCCTACGTCAACGAGCGCTTGCGCTTCGATCATGCCGGAGAAATACAGATCCCAGTTCTGATCCAGCATTTGGTAGCTGGTCTTGCTTTTCACCCAGCCCTTGTCCACAGCCGGCAACACCCTCTCTCTAAACAATTTCCCCTGTCTCCCTTCCTCTAGCCACTCCTCTTTAACCCCCTCCTTCTTCTCCACCTCCCCTCTCATGTCCTCCTCCTCCCGACTTCTCTCCGTAGCAAAGAGCGGAACATCCCACCTCCTACTCCTCCGAACCACAACCTCCACATCCCTAAACCGGCACCACCTCCTCCAACCCACCGGACTGGCCTCCCCACCCTTCCCCAAGAAGAAGTCCCACGGCCACATCCCCACGAACCTAAACAGTAAAAAATCCCCTGCAAACATCAACGTCCTCTCCCCACTTATCCCAAGTAGTCTCCATTGATCCGTATTCTCTTTATCGATGTTGGCGGGACTGTCATAGCCGAGAACGGAGAGGAGGAGGTAGAAATAGGTGGGGAGGGCTCGTTGGAGACGGAAGACGAGGATTATGAGAATGAAGATGTTGAGGAGGAGCGGGACGGTGAAGATGCGCCGTTTGAAAGCGGGAGGGTGCGTGTCGAGGTGGATGATATAGAGGTGCGATTTGGAGGTTAGGGTGTCGAGGAAGGTCGACAGCTCCGCGGGCGCTGGCTTGAACGGGGAAGGAATGGGTGACGTTGAAGAGGTATTGGGAGCGGTGGGCTTGGCTGGCGGCTTGCCCGAGCTCTTTTTGGGTTTGGGCATCCTGGGCACTCCCCTCTGACGCACAGTTCCAGACAAAATGACAGGTTTGCTGATGACCGGAAGCTCGAGACCTCCCGAGCGACGTCACAATCCAAAAAAAAAAATACGCGAGCGCCAAACGCGCCTCTCCAACACCAGCCAGAACAACGACATCCATGCCTTGAAGTCGATGGAGGATCCAAAGCCAAGAGGGCGCTCCGGCCTCATCGCCAGAGCTGTCGTAGGCCTCTCCTCATCTCTACCTGAGGACAATAACTAAGCGATCCAGGATACAGCCCTCCTCCCCGTCCACGCCGCCGCCTCCAAGCCCGCCCAGCGAGCCTACCTCGGCACCTTCCTCTTCGCCGCGACGAGCATCCTGCTCTTCTGCGTCTCGAGCGTAGCTTACACGCTGTTTTACTACAACTATGTGCCGCAGAATAGCGTGGGGCGGGTGGTGCATTTGCAGTTCGGGTGCGTTTGTCTCCCTGGTGTTTCTTGGGCGGCGGTGCTTGTTGATACAGATGCTAATACCGATACTGTGAGATGTAGGGATGGTCATCCCCACGGCACAGCCCACCTCTCTACATCCCTGACATCGCTCCAACCCTACGACATAACCCTCAGCCTCCACCTGCCCCGGACCCCCTCGAACCTCGCCGCCGGAAACTTCATGCTCGACCTCTCCCTCCTCGGCCCTTCCACGACCGGCACTCCCTCCTCGATCCTCCCTTCCTCCCTCTCCTCCACCACCAATACGACCACCACGATCGCCCGCTCCCGCCGCCCTGCAATCCTAACCTACACCTCTGCAGTCGTCGAGACTGCAAACACCCTCAGCGGACTACCATGGTATATCCTGGGCTGGAAATCCGAGAGCGAAGTGCTCTCGGTCAGTATGTTCGAAGGCGTCGAATTCGCAAAAGGTTGGGCGAATGTGCCGCAGAGCGTGCGCGTGGTGGTGGAGGCGGATGAGAAGATGCAATTCTATGAAGTGGGGGTGCGAATCATTGCGAAGTTGGGCGGGTTGAGATGGGTACTGTACCACCATCGTGTACTATCGTTTCTATTCTTCACCACAGCGTTTTGGAGCAGTTCGATGATCTCGATGGCGCTGGCGTGGTTTGCTATTTCGACGTATCTTGGGTCGCCGACGACTGTAAAGACGGAGCCGGAGACCAACGGCACCATTTTCAAGCGAGAGCGCTCAGACTCGGACGCATTTGATCCGACGTCAATGGAGGATCTTTCCGACACGTCAAGGACGTTCCCTACGCTTGGCCGACAGATCCCATTGCATTTCACTGGACGCAAGGACGTCAAGAAGGAAGAGGAGATCAAGAGGGAGGAAGACGAAGTCTTGAGATCAACGGCAGTCCAGCCATTAGCTGCTGAAGCAGACGATGAAGACGACGACATGTCGCAGGAGACAAGCGGTTTCAGAGACTCGGGAATTGGGACCGGTCTTGATGATGAAAGGTTGGCAAGTGTTCAGCGACGGCGTAGAGCATTGATGAATGGAAAGGACAGTGGAGCTTGATCTATGATGTTTTCTAGTAATCAAGATTTCTAGTGTTAAAGATGCATTCATTTGAGCTCGCCTGATACCGCTGTTGCCAGCTGAAACCCACCTCGATGTTGGCTGAAATACCACCTATTTCAGCAAGCCAATGGCCTATTGCCGAGAAGATAGGATAATCTGCACTTTCTCCTGTAAACAGTAAGTATGAAAGTAGGGGTTATCTACCCAGGATCTCGTGATAAAGCATGTCATGTAGCCAATACTGAGCGACAAGATGCATCGAGAAGAGCCAATATCTGGTCATTCAAGCAATTTCAGACCCCAGTGGCAGAATTTACACCTGCAACTGCTGAGTGTGGGCCAACGGTAGGGTCGGCTGCATTGGCGGAGCCGGAAGACGTCTCGTTCGTTGAAGGATGGAGTGTATCGCTCGACCAAGCTCCAGACGCCGCGCCAGAAAGAGTTTCAGACTGCGCTGCCTTTCTACGCCGCTGATACCATTGGCGGCGATGACTCTGCCCTGAAGACGCCTGGTTTGAGGCATCTGTACCAACTGCAGAGAGACGACGAGGCTGATTCTGTGATGGCTCATCGCTTGGTCCATCAGTCTGGCTACTTTTGACAGCTGATCCACTAGGCTCGCTCTTATTGTTGCCACGGCGTGGGTTGAAGTTGCCACGCTTTTTCTTGGTCTCGTGTTGGCCTTGGCCCGAGTTCTTCGAGTCAGAGGTGGTCGGCCTGGAGTCAGACACGAAAGCGTCAGATGTGGACTCCGACTCAACAGCGGGCCCTTTGCCCTTCTGATTGCGCTTGGCTCCGTTCTTTTTGAAATTGCCGCTCTCATGGCTGTGTTGGTGGGCTTCATTCCCGTGGTCGTGAGAGGCCTGCAGAAGATTTCTAGAGTCAGCATTACCTCTTCTAAGGCAAGCAACCGAAGTACGTGAAAGTTTCAAGGAGTGGAAGCGGTAGTTTTGTCTCTAAATGCCAACGTTGTTTTGGAAGTTGCCCCAGATGTACGTACCTGACCTGCGCTTGCAGACGTGCCACGCTGGACACGAGGTACGAAATCAGGGGCAGTAGCGCGAAGACTCTTGGTTCCAGAAGCCGAGCTGTCCGATGATCGTCGGTTTTCCTCGCTAGATGACTTTTCTGTAACATGGCTGAGTTTGGGCTGCGGGGCGGTGGCAGGATCGGAATCGGTGAGCATAAGACTGGCATCGATCTGTTTGTGCCAGAGTTCGTGGAACTTTCCTTTAGACTTGAGAAGCTCACGCGGCGACCCTTGCTCAACGATAACACCATCTTTGATGACCAAGATAGTATCAGAGCTGGCCACTGTAGACAGTCTGTGAGCGACTGTAAAGGTTGTACGGCCCTTGGTCAATATTTGCAGGGCATCCTGGATGTTTCCTTCGGTCTCGGTGTCGACAGAGCTCGTGGCTTCATCCAATAGGACGATCTCAGGATTCTGGAGTATGACTCTGGCTATTGCGACCCTTTGCAATTCGCCACCCGAAAGCTTGACGCCACCCTCGCCCACCTTTGTTGAATAACCTTTGGCGAACTTTAGGATCTTCTCGTGTATAGAGGCGGCTTTGCATGCCTCTATGACATCTTCGTCTGTCGCAGCTAATCGCGCATAGCGAACATTCTCCATGATACTGGTATCGAACAGCGAAGGGTCTTGTGGCACCACGCCGATGTGTTGACGGAGGCTTGACAGGGTGACGTCTCGTATGTTCTGGTCGTCTATCATGATACTGCCCTTTTTGACATCATAAAAGCGGAAGAGCAGTCTCAAAATAGTGGATTTTCCACCGCCGGTTTCTCCGACCAAGGCGACCTTTTGACCCGGTGCAGCATAGAAGTTGAAGTCTTTGATAACTTCTTTCTGGTTGTCATAAGAGAATCCCACATCGTGGAAACGGATGGTCCCACGCTTGAACTTGAAAACATCTTGACCATCCTTGACACTGGGTTTCTTCAGGAACAAGTCAAGCAGCGACTCAGCATCTGTAAGATACTGAACCAATTGACGCTGGACATTCACAAAGTTCTGAAGTTTTCCTAGGTAGGATTAGTGACAGTGCTTGTAGAATATCAGCAAAGAAGACTGCAGAAGGACTTACCAGTGAAGTTACCCCAATATGATACAAGCATCACGAAACCGCCAATTGGTGCACCTTTGGCAATCTGATAGATGGCCAGGATACAAGCGCTGATCATCCCGCATTCGATGATCGTATCTTTGGCGACTTGAGAGATGTAGAAGAGATAATACCATTTCTGCTGTGCCTTGATGTTCAGACCTGCAAGAATGTTCTTCGTCAGCGCATATAATCATCAGCGATAGGAGATGTTTGTTCACCGACGATATCCGCATATCTGGCCTTCTCGTATCCGTGGCGGTTAAAGTATGAGACCGAACTCCATCCTCCAACGCTGTTGTACATCACCTGGAATTCTTTCCTCGTGAGGGCATTGAATATGCGCCTTGGCTCCGTCTGCTGGCCAACAAAAGCAAGCGAAGCCCAGACAAAAATCGCCGTAGTTGCAGCCACGATTAGGGCCATGTAAGGGCCGAACACCCAATACAGGTAGACAAACGCGACGGCCACGTCGACAAACATGGGTAGCACTTTGAACAATAAGGCTTCAGCGATGTGTTTGAGAGAATTGCCTTGGGATATCGCCGTATATAGCTCCGCAGATTGCTTCGTTGTGTGGAAGTCTCGGGATAATCCCATGATGTGGTTGTACGATCCGGTTTTGAGAGATCCCTCGGCGTACTGTTCAATAGGTAGCCACAGCATGTACCTGAGCTCACCAAGGATCGAGTTTTGTACCCAGCTAAACAAAACCCAGAGACTGACTTCCAGAAGTGGAACGTGGCCCTGAGACGTGCCGAGGCGGTCAATCACAATCCCAAATTGGCGTGGCTCAAGGACGTTTAGTGCTCGCGCAAAAAGAAGGCATAAGCAAACTCCAAGCATCTTTGCCTGGAGTTTTCGGCTGCTTGAAGGCCATAGATAAGGTATGAAGATGGAAAAAGCTTTTGCGTACCTATTCACAAATCAGCGAATAGTCAACCAAGATTGACATTAGGGTAGAGCCGGACCCTGAGGAGGGCAATCGTGTTTAGGGCTGGGACAAATGATGAAACAAGGATAGTGCCTTACGTGAACCAATTTCCTTCAGCCTGCAGCCGCTTCTCGACCAATTCCTTCTTTTCTTTTCGCTCCTTCAGATCCTCATCGTCAGACTCACCATCTGCATCGTCCATTTCTGCTGAGACAGTAATGGATCCATAGCCTGACTTTCCATTAGAAGTATGGGTGTCGCTCGATTCGCCTTTGTGGTGCCCAAGAAGGGACGCGGATTCTTCGTCGGCCTTGGTGCCTTTGGAAGACTTGGTGAAAAGGACCGTGGAGAGCAAGACTAGAATAAGCAAGCGGCAAGCTTGGACTGCCGTTTGAGCATAGACGAAAGCGCTTCGCGGCAAACCAAAGGCAAGGCAGAGGGTGAATATGATTGCTTCGACGACCAGCCCAATGAACCATGATCCGTAGTAAGGGTACCATACAACCGGATTCTCGGTGTCCATGATGCTCACAGCGAGAAACGCCCAGACGAGAAGGGAAAAAAGGGCGTAAACCTAAACGATTGGGGTTAATGGAGAGGACTCATGGAGTCTCGACCAAGCTTGTGGTCAATGGAAAAGGCACTCACGTTGCCATCGGTGGAGGAGTGACGAGCGCCATTAACGGCGGTGTCCGTCAAGAGCATACATGACTCCACCAAGAAAGAGACGACGATCAAGGACACGAGACAGACCAGAATCCTGCGAGGACCCGAGCGACTGGCTTTCAAGTTCTGCAGTGTGCATATGCTGACGGTAGCGGCGACCAGGAAGTACGCAAGCACCAATGCTGGTGCAATGTAGTGTAGAGCTTGAAGGAAGCGCTGCTGCTGTTCTGCTGCGGCCACCACGGCCGTCATGGTTCCATTCATGGGTGACTGCAGAGACACCATCCCTGACCTTTGCTTGCTAATGGGAAGTGTTGTGTGAGACGATGGAGAGTTGTGACAGATTCTAGAGGGGTATCAATATCAAGGGTGTCAACCTGACATAGGTTTCTTGAGTTGTTACTATGAGAATAATCAAAGTTAAGTTGAACGGGGTGAAAGCTTCCAAGAAGGCGATTTCCGCGCTAAAGGGCGCTAAAGGAAATATTGATAGCTTTCCTGAAAGGGTAGTAACGGCTAACGCCATTCAAGTGGTCAAAAAGGGCAGCCGGGCTCAGCTCAACCACTTTTCGGCAGGATTCAGCCGCAACCGCACGGAAGAGGGGAGGGACGGGGAGAAGAGCGGCGGTCATTGCGTGATATAAGTCTTTCTGACCTGCTTCTAATATTTCTCATTTTCTTTTTCTCATTTTCTTCTTCGCTTTTCTAGTAGCTGTGGCCAGAATTGAAGGGTCCCGATACTGGCCACTGGGAAAGAGCGACGACTCCATACCCGAAAGAATATCTGATTTTGCCCTGGCATTCTGGCTTATACTCTTGACATTGCCTTCAATCATTGAACGTAGCCTTAAAACCGCGCACCTGCATTTCTTTGGTGGCTGATTTACTGTCACAGACTCACAAGGCCACAGCACCTTGAACGGCCACCATTCCTACCCCCCAGACATGATTTGTATCCTCTCTGTTCCCTGTGACATAGATTGAGTAGGATGTCGAATCCGATGGAGCACCCTCCAAGTCGAGCCGAAATGTCAGTAGTCAAGGACCTTCGATCGCTTGAAAAAGGATATCAACAAATCTCCAGTGGTAGTTGACTCTCCTTGACATGCACCCGTAGACTCTCCAACCTTAGTCGCCCCGGTTTCATAGAATTAGAAGCTTATGAGGTGTTCATCATCGTATGATCATGTCCGAGAGAAAAGATGTTGGCAACTGAACAAAAGAAATGCCCGAGCCTCCGGGGCCGGCTTTTGGCGCCGCGGCACAACAGTCGCCAATGCACCTCGCGCAATACGACACCCGCCATAGAATTGGCACGCATTGGAGCACAAGCATCTCAGCGTCGTCCACAGCAATCGCTCCAGAATCATGGACTTTGCTCCTTATCAAGACACCACTCCAGAATCCACACGAACCCTCTCTCCACCTCCAAATCGAATCTCGTCTCCTGCCCGCAACGCCAGATCTCCACCTCCAACCCGACCAAACACAGACCCATTTGGCGTGTCATCCTTGCCAGAACCCAGTCATTTCAGTGATGAGCCTAGGGAAAATGCAGGGTTTGGAAGGGGACATATAGAAAATGGCAGGCTGGACGTCAATCTGTTCGAGACGAGCCTACCACTACGGCTAGACTACGAGGCAATGCTGGCATATCTGCTGCTACCGCCTGCAGGAGGGGTATTTCTACTGGTGGTGGAACATAAGAGTGATTACGTACGGTACGTCAGACTTGGAGAAAGAGGTGTTTACGGCACTCCTTGCTTCCCGTGGAGTTGCTCTGTAACAGTATCTCTGTGCAGTTGCGCTTTTGCTCAACCTATCCTCTACCTACTTGTCTCTGCGCATCGACCGCCATCTCTCTGTGCCTGCTGCATGCATATACTGACAAGACGTTCCGAAGATTCCATGCTTGGCAATCAAGTCTACTATTCGCGGCGATTTTCGTGGGCCTCACCCTCCGACCATTTGCGTGATGCACATCATTGACCTCGTACCAGGTCCTACACCTGATCCTCTCGTGGTCAAGCATACTATCATGGATGTTATTCGTCATTGATATAGGTCTTATCGGATTCCTTGCTATGCATGCCTACCGAGACGGTATAAATATCCCCCATACCTACTTTCATGTTGATACTGACATGGCTGCAGCTGATGGCTTGGATCGTTTTGAAGTTCCGTTCTTTGGGGGTTTGGCGAGCTCCTTCGTAGACTCTGAGTGAGATATGCTTTTGTATGATATCGATACATTGGAAGAACGGCGCAATTGCTGGGCAAGATACCCGTTAAGAGTTGGCGGTCAATAGACAGCATTGTACTCGTACTGTACATATAATGATAGGTAGGGTCATAGATCCTTGGACCAGTCGTTTAATCTATCCTCCGGAGAATTGAAAGTCTTGAGGCTCTAGAATTTTAAGAATGCCCCCTCTAAACTTCCACTCGCATGTTTTAAGTGTTCACAAGCTCGACGTTCCGGTTATGCTAAATTCCAGAAGAGAGCATCTTACGAAAACCGACAATCTTTTCAAACGATGAAGCTTATCTTTCGAGCCCCGTACAAATGCCTCGTGGCGTATGCGCCACGCTGCAAGGCAGTGCTCTCAGCCTCGTCCCATCTCCGCCCCCTTCTGCGTTCCTTCCAGCTATAAGAACTTCCATCTGCTTTCTTCTGGCTTCCTAGTCATGCGACTTATTCCTCACTATGGATGGCGTAAGTATCGCTGCATCAATTGTGGGCATTGCCACGGCAGGCGTCCAAGTCTCTATCAAGCTCGTCACTCTCGCATCTCAGATCAGCACCGCATCAGACCGTATTTCATCCATCGGGAATGACATCTCTCTTACATCAGGCGTACTTCATCAGCTGGGTGAACTGATAAACCGGAAGACCACGGACGATGGCATCAGTATCTTGAACCAAGATGGCCTCAAGACTACGAAGACGTCCGCGGCGATGTGCGAGAGGATATTTCAAGAAGTTGAAAAAGAGATGAAGAGAGCGAGTGAGCAGCTGAGAAGATACAAGCCAGGCCAAGGTCGGATGAGCGGGGAAAAGATCGAGTTGTCGATGACTGAAAAGGCGAAATGGCTGTTCTTGCAGCCAAGCATTGATAGATGGAGAGCGGACTTGAGGGATGCAAAGTCGACGTTGATGTTGATGCTGCAAGTGGCGAGTTTGGCTTTGAGCAAGAGAATGGCAGATGCATCCATGTCAATAACCGAGCACCAGGACTTTGTACGTGCCATAGTGGCTTTGGAGCTACAGCGACGAGAAGAACGTACAACTTCCTTTCAACAGCAGAAAGTGTTGAGGTCCTCCAGCTCAGATGATACAACCAAAGAGAACGCCGATACGACGCCAGCGGGAGAAGGCACGTTGAATTCCGATCGTAACCATCAAATACCCGAACCCGTGGTACAGGCAGGCGAAAAGCGTACTGCAGGAGTTATTAAGTTTCGCAAGTTGTTGTCAGACGTACGTGCAAGATTTATGTCAGAGCGCGTTGAAGGTCCTGGAGTGGCCCGACCAAGGGGGCTCGAAACCCAGCATGTCTACGGCGGACGACGGCTGACACTACGACAAAACCAAAAAAAAATTCTCTTTTCGTTTTTTTCTTCGCGATTTCTAGTTCTCAACTCTTCGAGAGGTACTTTTTGAGGCACTCTTTAGGGGCTACTCTCTGGGGTACTCTTCGGGGTACTCTTCGGGGTACTCTCCGGGGTACTCTCCGCGGTACTCTCTCGGGTACTCTTTCGGGTACTCTTCCGGGTACTTTTTCGGGTACTCTTCCGGGTACTTACGACGGATAATAACTAACACTACGATCGAATATTTTATGAAGTTCTTCGCAAAAAAAAAAAAAAAAAAAAATACGGGACTTTCCACGGAACTTCCCGCGAATTCTTTTTTTTTTTTTTTTGCGAAGAACTTCATAAAATATTTAATCGTAATGAGAGTACCCCGGAGAGTACCTCGAAGAGTACCCGGACGAATACCCCGGAGAGTACCTCGAAGAGTACCCGGAAGAATACCCCGCAGAGTACCCCGCAGAGTACCCCGGAGAGTACCTCGGAGAGTAGCCCCTCAAGAATACCTCAAAAAGTACCTCTCGAAGAGTTGAGAATATTCTAAAAAGAATATTTTGGAGAGAGTTACTAGAAATCGCAAAGAAAAAAACGAAAAGAGAATTTTTTTTGGTTTTGTCGTAGTGTCAGCCGTCGTCCGCCGTAATGTCGCGAACATATCTCCGGCATCCTCTCCGGATTCTAAGTTGCCTCGCACGGATGACACCAGCGACGTGCCAGAGTATTACACCATGGATTCTTCACACATATCGTTCTCCTCTGACAGTGACAGCGGGACACAAACAAACCACAACACAGAGCTTCAGTTGTTCCTCCTCAAGCCCATAGTCGAAGACCTGTTTGACAGAATCGAACTTCGCTGGTCGGTAGAGAACACAAATCTGCGACCTTTGGCAATTCGCCAACACCTGGCCGAGAATAAGAAGAACGATCTTCCGTCAGTCGTTGAGATGCTGCAGCATTTGCATGCCTATGAGCAAGCAATGGTTGACTCTGAAACAACAAAGGGTTCCGGAGGCTCCGTCCTATCTTTGGAAAGAACGAAGACAGACATTCAATCCAGAGACATGCTCTTCCAGGCGGTCCCAGGGCTACAATTCGTGGTCCAGCGCCGAGTACGCCAACCACCACGTTTGTTTTCCACTCCACAATTCGAATACCGTCACCCATCTTCTAGCACCCCGACTCAACGCTCTATGTCCGTCAATTTCCATAAAGGTGCGATGTCTCGTCGTCGCCCAACTTCCACGCGCCGCCAGCCAAGGCCATCAACATCCAAAATATTGGGCAGCAGGAGAGCCGCAGTTCCCACGGCAGCGTCAGTCATTCTCGATGAGCGGGACCAGGGCGACGACGAAGCTGACGCCGTGGTGACGGGACTGTTGCGGAAGTATACGACTCTTTTCGACTCATGAGACGGTCGGGCATGGTGTCGGAAATAGTGGCAGTCGAGTCGATAACAGTAGAATCAATGAGGAGGTTTTCATACTGTTTTAAATTCTTCCCGGAGCAAGTTTGATCCTGAATATCAACTGTTTCCGGGTTGATGGCTCAGACTGATGTGAAAATGAGAGGGTCTCAGCGTCTCTGACTGCCGCTTGTGTTGACTGCTTGCCTTGGTAGCTGTGGAATACAATAGGGGGCTTTTACATACCGAAGCACGGAATTCAGTGGAGTGTCTTTCAATTATGGCATTCTCGCAGCGCAGGGGATATCTAGTCAAGTAAGTCAAGAAACACGAGGTATCTACACACGGCGCCATCACTCAATAGCCACCCAAACCCAACAGCGCCGGGAATTTGTACAACCGCCCTCATCAGTCATTCCAGTGGTCAGACATCAGCACCAGACGCCATTAACCCACCCAAGTCGCTGGCCTTATTCATCCATCCCAGCAACACCATCGAGTCCTTCATCTTCAGCGCCTCCATCGTCAAGCTCGGCTTTGACTTCTTGGTCAACGAACGCTTCGTAATTTTCGAGATTTTGCTGGATGTGGACCTTGAACTTGATGACATCGTTCAAGATCTTCTCGATCTCGGTGTGCAGTTCCTCGCGCAGGGCGTTGGCACGAAGGGTCAATTGTTCGAATCTAGCAGAGTAGTCAGCACGCTCTGACTCGCATTTACCCTAAAGGAAGTGAGGTTCGCGTACTCGATGTTAGTGTTCATCTCGCGCTGCTCCATTAGCTGTACGCTTTCATCGAGGCCGGCGCGCATCTTCGCGAGCTCCTTCTCCATCTTCTCGATCTGCGCATCCGATGCAACTTTCTGGGTAGATGTGACCTGCAATAGCTGATTAGAATACCAGTAGACCTTTTGGAGGGAACGGTGGTTCTGCTTACCTCTTTGGTCTTCTCGAACTCCTCCTCGGCCGCTCTTACACGGTGCTCTAAAGCTTCTACTTCACTTCGCTTGTCGTCAATAGCTTCTTTGATAGAGTCCAGCAGCTCATGGTTCTTCATGTCCGCGTCAACTGCCAACGTTCTCCTCTCATTGATCTCTTTTCTTAGTCCGATGAGCTGGCTTTTGATGTTGCCACGTAGGTCAAGGTTGAGGACGTGAGGAGGATGGTAGCCGGTCGAAGGGTCAGCGAGCAGACGATCATTACTGCTGCCGCGCTGTGAGGCGCCCATTTGGGAAGACGAGAAGTTGGGCGTAGAATCAATGTTGAGGTGGAGCTCGAAGTCCTGGCCCTTGGCATTTGCTGCGGTGGCAGGTACCAAGGCGATCTGGTAGCACAGAGAGTTGTACTTCTCAACAACGCGTTCCAGCTCTTCCAGACTGCGGTTGGCGTCGATTTCCTTTTCGCCCGCTCTTCGCTTGACTTCCCCCAACCTGGTTGTTGTGGTCTCGAGGCCTTTTTGCAATCTTTCCCGCTCAGTAGTCATGCGGTCAATGTCCTGTATAGTGATACCCTGCCGGTCCACTGAATCTTGCAAGTTGGTCTTCTCCTGCTCAACTTCTCCGAGCTCTGCCTCCGTGCGTTCGATCTCCTCCTGCAAAAACTTGTTCCGTTGCTCATACTTCTCGACCTTGGCTTCAACGTTGGTGTTGTACTCCTCAAACTTCCGCTTGTCGTCCTCCAGAATCTTGAAATTCTTTTCCAGCTTCGCTAGATCTGGAGCGCCTGCTTCAGCTTCGGCGATCTGCTGCTTAAGGACCTCATTTTCTGCCTCAAGGATCTTCATCTCTTCGGCGTACTTCTGGTTACCTCGCTCAAACTCGGCAGCCATAGCTTCAACGTGAGGTACCACCTGCCTATTCGCTTCTTCTTCTCCGTCTTCGTCTCCTTCTTCCACTTCCACTTGTATCCAGTCATGATAAGCTCCGCTTAGGAATCGGAAGATGATTCTATCTCCACTGACGTCCACACCGGCTTCTGCACATGCGTCGTCGTACTCACCGACGTCATATTTATCCATCATCTGAGCTATCTGCATCATCCATTGTAGCATTCCAAGGAATGAGGACCAATTCTGGCCGCCGACCGCTGCCCATTGTGACTTTGAGACTTTATTCTCAAACGGATACCGTAGCTGCTTTAGGATAGCGGGCCCCTCAAAGTCGATACTTTTCATGAAACGGTAGGCGGGATCTACTCGACGATACAGCCATTGGAAAATAGCCTCGAAGTCCTTTTGCGTAGGTGAGGTCATGCTCTTCTGGTTGAGCGAGCGCTTCATGTCCAATTCGAAGTTGTTCCGTGTCAGGTAGTCAAGCAGGTCTTGGCCCACTTTCGCTCTGTAGTTCGGATCTCTCCACGGTCGTGGATCTCCTCGTGCGCTAGCTGGAGCTGGCGCTTGTGTGAAAAACGATTGGTGGCCCATCCCGCCAGTGGAAGAGGATCGAGACCATATGCTGCTTCTTCGCTGCATGCTCTGAGAAGCGCTCAACGATTGCTGGTTCGCTGGCGTCATTGCACCCGGCGCATAGCTCATTCTGTTTGCGGACACACCGCCAAACATGTTGGAAGAAGAGCTTCGCTGCACTGTAGACGGACGGTTTGTCTGCCCCTCCGCGAGAGTATTGAAGTTGACGCCTGATGAGGCACGCTGAAAATTGGGCTGTTGAGGCCGACTGGGAGCGAGCGACATGCGAGAGGAGGAGACCGAGCGAGCATGGTGGGATGTGTGCGGTGCATAGTTCTCTTTGATGTTGGAGATAGAATTGGAGCGTTTTAAGGCGGAAGCAGGTTGTGGAATTGCGGAGTTGTAGTTGATACCACCCAATGTCTGCGAGGTGGATTGTCAGTAGAGCTTGAATATTGCAGGCGTGGAAATTTACCTCTCGAGGCCGGCGCACGCTGAAGAGCCCTGTATCTTGTGACATCTTCAGTGGTAAGCGGCAAGTGCAACGATCAGGTCTACAATTCGCGCAGCCAAGAGTCCGCGATATAGAACTGGTGTCGGCGAGGTTTCTTCAATGGCAAGTAACGGCAGCGGTGTAGTTTGCGCCGATGTTGATGGTTTGTTTACTTTTCAGATTTTAGCGTGCCAAGACTTGCTGGCGCTGCCGCGCGCGGGCCGAGGTCCAGTTTTCCCCGACCACCCCATGTACGGGACCATCATTTTGGACCACCTCGACACCTATTCGCTTTCATAGCTTTGTATTCGTACCGATTGGATTGAGACTCTCATCAGACGACGACAAAGAATTATGACCTCTTCGATCGCCTCGTAAAAAGTGATCTGACCGCTTAAACGGAGCTGTATGCTCGACGCAGACCCAGGCGCAGCGGATCGAGATGGTGCGTGAAGATCTAGTATCGTCCGCCGTAAGACTCTGTTCCAAGCAGATGCCAGAATCGCAGCTCATCAGTTTCTAGGTTTCCTGTAAGAATTCTAACAGAATGCCACGGTGCAATGTAATCTAATGATCTTAGTTCTCCAAGACCCATCTGTCGCCGCTTCAGCCCTTGACAAAAGAATTGCCTTCCTACAATCAAAAAACCTTACGCAAGAAGAGATCGATGTTGCTCTGGCGAGAGCAGGAGATGGATCACACACAGAGAATGCAGTGGCACCACCTCCGCCGAGCCAATACCCTTATCAAGGGCAGCAGATGACGAGGCAACCTGCAGGGTATGGATACGGACCTTATCAAGGAGGACCATGGCCACAAGCGCCGCCAGAGTGAGTACGACAGTTGCTAATTGAGGCAGTACATGGACTGACGAAGAATAGACCACCTCAGCGGGACTGGAGAGACTGGTTTATAATGGCAACTGTCACCAGCGGAGTTGGCTATGGCCTTTATGCTGTTGCAAAGGTACTTGGAACTTGTTCCAGTACCCCGTATCTTACTGACAGCTATACAGCGCTACGTCTTCCCCCTTATTTCTCCTCCCACACCACCTCAGCTCGAGGCCGACAAAGCCTCCATTGACGAATCCTTTAACCGCGCTTTTGCCCTGATCGAACAACTTACAACCGACACCGCCGCCATCAAAGAATCCGAATCCGAGAGAACAGAGAAGCTAGACACGACCCTAAAAGATGTTGGTAGTGTGATCGAAGATCTGAAGGCTGCAAATACGAGACGAGAAGCGGAGAGTAGAATAATAGCCGATCAAGTGACTGGCTTGAAAGATATGGTACCGAAAGCGTTGGAAGGGTGGAAAGCTAACGGAGACGCCAAGTTAGAAGAGCTAGGCCAAGAGGTGCAGAGCCTAAAGAAACTGCTAGAGAATAGAGTTGGCAGGCCTAGTGGGGCACCGACACCAACGGGCAGAGGACATCCGAACGGAAATGAGAAGTCAAAAGATAATCCCTCGGCCTTCAGTTCGGCGAACAGTGGGACGACCACTCCAACTGCCGAGTCTGCCAGTGGTCCATCGGCTCCAGCGCCAGGAGTAACAGTGCCCAAGAGGGAATCTACCCCATTGCGGGGATTTGAGAGGAGTGATCGTCGAGCAATACCTGCATGGCAGATGGCAGCTGCTACCGAGAAGACTGACACGGGGGGCTCACCTTCGAATGCAGAAGCAAGTACATCGGAAGCTGGAGCATAAGCAGGAGAAATTAATAGTTCCAAATCCTTGTTTGAGACCCATTTGACCTGTTGCAAGCCTTTCCTGCATTGCACTCCCAGACCTATCCAACTGTACAAGTGACAGAGACCACGAGTCGAAGCACGAATGCAGATAGAGCTACAATGGACACGGGTACACGAGCAATGTCAAAAAGGCTAGCGTCCGGTCGCATCAATTGTCTGTGCATAGCAGGTAGAAAATATGTCGTCTGTGTTGCTACCAAACCCTTGATGTTACTATTTGTTGGGGCCTATGCAGCTGATTTAGTTTGTTGAAGCGACACAGGCCTATCTTTTGACTTGGACTGTGATCTCCTCCAGCTGCGTTTCCAGATCGGGAACCGAGCTATTGTCGCCGCCTCGATCCGTCATCACGACCTAACGTGGCAAAACCTGAAATCAGTTGAAACGAGGTGGCACTCGTTAGGCTCGACGATAAAGTGTCACGCCTGGTAGACACCGTGGATAGACAATGCACCGCAGTGAATGATCACCCCTATCCAAGATACCACTGCGGCCTCGAGTTTGATTGATTTCGTCCCCAGGTTGCGCGAGTTGAAGGGGAAGTTCAAGTAGCCCCATACAGAGCAATTTGACAAGTTGGGGGACCATCGACCGCGAGAAAGCTGGCGCGGAAGAGGTTTCGCGTAGAGCAAGGGGGAGATTCGAGGAAGCAAAGAGAGAAAGAAGGATGCTGCCGCGCAGTCGACTCGAGAAGTTGAGGCGCAAAACCAGGAGGCTAACGAGCGTCTTGAATCGCAGACATTGGGATGGAGAGGCTCGAGAAGAGGTTGGTGGGGGTGTTACCAGAGGAGAAGAGACCGAGACGAAGTTGACAGATACCAACAGACGGCAAAATGCCCTGAAAGACTGGATACAGTCGGAGCGCGAAAGCTGCAGCGAGAAGCAACGCAGAGTCAAATGTCTCTGTGGTTCTGTCATGCAGTCACGGAGACAATTCAACGCGGATCAACAAAGGTCCGATACCAGATCAAGAAAGCTCGGTGAGGATGAGGAGACCCTTCGCAACGAAGTCGAACGTCTCAGGCCCCAGATCACATCCCACAATGGGGTTCAGGAGGCATTTTATCGCGTATCGCAAGGCCCCCGAGGAGAGGGGAACGGCCGCAAGAAGCGCCTCAGAGGCTGCTTTACAACAGTTTTCGGAGAACATGAACGCTTCCAAGGATGCTTTATCCAAGGCACACAGGGGATCAACCATGCCAAAGACGTTGTCTACGCAGCCACCGCCAGCAGCACTGTCGCCTACGGCCGCCCGGGGACGAAACCGTGGCATAAGTCGTGGTGGAAGCCCCCACTTTCCTACAGGACTACAGTCGGCTGCGACCTTTCCAAACCAATCCACTGGGTGGCTACGCATCATTTGGCCCTTATATTGATCGCACTCCGGCATTAACCGGTCAAGCGTCATCGAGCGCTCAAGGTAGTCAGTCCGAATCTGCAACCCCGGCGAATGCACCTGATGATACCAAAGATCTGTCGAGCAAGCTGGGTTTCCTTGCTGACTGGAACGACATTGATACCAATAGAATGTTGGAGAAATCGATTCTTATTTCGCACTTCGTCTTCGATACTACATTTAGTCTGATATCATTATTAAATTGTCTTCTGAATAGGATCAAACCAAGAGGTCAAGTCTCAGGTACCTTTTGTATAAACAATAGACTGTTCCGTGCCCAACTGCTTGTGTTTTCTTGTGCCCTTTCTACATAGTCGTACCGTCCACATAGCTGAGGTATTCGATCATGTTGGAACTACAGGTATTGGCAGCGGAAAAAGTGTATGAATGATAGGCCATGACTGTTATACTCTAACAGCTATCTTGACTGTCATGAAGAATGTAAGAAAAAAAGCATCAAGGTGGCCATGCTCTAGTCTATATACACCCTGGAAATATCTCTCAGTGTTCATACGACTGAATCCGATATTTGACTTACGAATACGAACAAATCATGCATGGCGATAGCCGCTAACCTCATTAGGCCTAGCTCATTGTAGCCCCATTGCTGTAGCTGACCTCAGTCAGCTTGGCACAGTAGATAGAAGAATCAAAATCTATTACCACATCTACTACTAGGAATATATCGTGTCCCAAATGTACAGATGGACCCTCTTTCCATAATAGCAAGCGTTGTAGGTGTTGCGACTGCCGCGCTGGAAAGCTCGGTCGCACTTCATAATGTCCTCAAGGCTATTCAAAACGCCCCTCGCGATATCAAGAAGCTATCTGGCGAGACCGAAGAGCTGTCTTCTATTATCGCGTCATTACAGTCAACACTCAAAGACGAAGACCAGAAGCAAGCACTGCGAAACAATGATCGTATCATCAAGTCGCTGGAACAGCTGGAAGGTCCTTTGAAGAGTTTCTCGGAGATCAATGGGAAGATTGAGAGTACTCTAAGGCCGTATCTCAAGTTGACGGATGATGGGAGGAGTTGGAAGATCTCGGATTTGAAGTGGCTGTGGGCTAAGGGCGGCATCAATGAACTTTTGGAGGGCTTTCAGCGTAGCAAGCAAACGCTCAACCTCCATATGAGCAATGTAACTATGTGAGCCCTCCATTTGCATACAGATCAGATGCCGGGATTATTTTCGAGTTCTGATGCCCACAAAAGGCAGTGTACACTCCTTCTCACCGCCTATGACGCTGGCTCCCGACCAGAGAGACCGAGAGTAAACCGCCAAGACTCTACAAGCACGAATGTCGGTGGCGCACTGAAGAAATACGTGGCCGAAACGCTCGATGGGGCATCAGAAGGCTCGTTCGAGGCAGGACGATATAAAAAGTACGACGCAGCAGCTCCAGTTCTCGAGAATCGAGACTCCACGGCGGACATCACTAAGCGCATGGAGAAGCTTAGCCTTCAGCGGATAGCACTCTTTGACGCCGCTAAAGACGGACAGCACGAAATTGTCAGACTGCTACTCCAAGACGGCATGGATGTCAACGCGATAGCCCGAGATGGCCAAACGGCCTTGCATCTCTCCGCCGAGTACGGCCACGAAGCTGTTACGCAAACATTGATAGAATACGGCGCTAAAATCGACCTGAGAATGCTCCCCGGCAAGGCCGACAAGAATGGGAACTGCCCAGGTGGCAGAAATCCACTGCACTACGCAGCACTGAACGGGCATTTAGGCATCATCAACGTACTACTAGATCATGGAGCAGACGCTTCGCCGCAGAGCACAAATCTCAGGACACCTCTACAAGAGGCAATAGCAGAGGATCGTACTGCGGTAGCCATGCTGCTGATCAAGCGCGGTGCAAGCTCAAAAACATGCGATCGCGAGGGCTGGACGCCATTGCATTGCGCCGCTTACAAAAAAAACCTTGATATCGTAAAGGCACTCATTGCCAATGGTGCAGATGTTGAGGCTAGAACATCTGATTGGAATGTCAAGGGCAAAGAGCGCTGGCGGCGTACTACTCCTCTCTTTCTGGCTGTCTGGAACGGTCAAATCGGTGTTGTGCAAGCGCTGCTGGATGCAGACGCGGATCCTAGGGCTGATATCTCGGATGGCGCTACTTGTGTTCATGCTGCTGTCTATGGGAACCGGAGGGGGCCGTGGATTGCTGGTATGCTACTTGATGCGGATGCGAAGCGCGATGGCAGACATGATATCGCGCTGATCAATATGAAGAAATTGGATGGTAACACCGCACTACATGTTGCGGCTGCCAAGGGTCATGTTGATATGGTTGAGCTGCTGTTGAAGAAGGGGGCCGATGCGAAGGCTGTGAATGGGCTTGGGAGAGACGTGTTGCAGCATGCGAAAACGGTAAAGAAAAATGAAGCTGTGGTGAGCTTGCTAGAAGAACATGTTTCCAGGTCGAAGAAGGCGAAGGGGATAAAAACGAAACAGAAGAGCAAAGGAGGTAGTCACGAAAACCTTACTATTGAACCAGCGGACGCCAGCGTTGACCCCACTAAACGCCAACATAGCAGGCAACGCAGCTCGGCTTGTTGAAATATTCGATCGGGGACAGAGATCCCTTGACCGAAGCGAACAAGTATTCGAGGTCCGTGCCGGGGAGTGAGACTCGAAAGGGACAGCCCACATATACCGTTCATGAATTATGAGTTATGAACACTCGAACATTACCTGAATCATATGGCACCTGCCATGGAGTGAGTAGATTCTCGGAGCTGATATTGCGTGTGAACGGTGTAATAATTTTGGAGAGGTCTATGCACGATAAGGCCTGTTACTGTAGATAGTGCCAAGCCGCGCTAGGCCCAACTGGACCTTGTGTGGTAGCAGGGCTGCAACCATGACAGTCTTCGACGTTAGTGATTTGTTCTTTTATCTAACGGCTCGAGTTGGGCAACCAGCTCTCGACACCCGGATTACTCCTCGCTCGTTCCGCCAACATCGGATAACCCCAGCAACCTCTGGTTCTTCGGCATGCTACCAAGTGCGGATTGAAGACGTAACTCAATTAGCGCTCCATGGCGCATCCGATACCGCAGATTGTTTTCACAGGATTGCATGGACGGATTCGAGAATGGGATAGAGGCAAGCGGTTTTGGAGAAAAGAAAGCGATGGAGTAGAATGCAAACCGCGCGAATTTGGTCAGTCGATGGAGAGGAACTGCTTGAAAGGACGGTGACAGTCATTAAGAGTGCGTGGATTGTGCGGAGGTGAGGAGGCTGTGTAGTGATTGATAACGGGGAGACCGAATTGTTGCCTTGCGCAAAGACCAAGATATGCGGAGCGTAGATGATGATGGGTACTGGCTTGGACATATGATAACATGATAGCTTGATTCAAGCTCTCGGATTGTGATGGTAGTCCTGGAGCGTCAACGGAGGACCCCGCTGACAGATTTAGAATACTGTTTGTCATGACCGTTTGAACATCTCTCTTGCTGGGCATGAGCCAATAAATTGCGCTATGGTACACGTATATCGAATTACTTCAAGGTGACAGATGACTTATAAATGTACCCAGCTAAGACATGCTCAGCTTCGCGACTCAGGACGTCAACGATTGTCTGAATAAGCAGAGTATGGCAGATAAGAAGAGACTTACTCGTCATCAAAGCCCCGTAAATCCCACCCCAAATACGCCTCCATCGACTTCGTGTGCTGTTTGCGGTATTCCTCCCTTTCCTCCCGAAACTCCCTTCGGATCTTCTCGGCCTCTTCCGTAGAAGTGGGATCCCCGTCAACCATGCCGATGATGTTGTCGAAAACCTCCGTCGGTAATCGCCTCATCCTAGGACTGCGTTGACGTATCTCCCGTGCCCACCAGTCACGGCGCTGGCATGGTACCATCGCGGTGCTCATGTTCCTTCTGTTGGGATCGAGAAGGTGGAGAGTCAACAGCCGACAATGACCTGGTTTCGAAGCATCGGCGAGGGTGAACTTGTTCAGTCGGGTTTGGAAGATATTCGGGTGCACGACTGTCCTTCCTTCTCTTAGTTTCACGTCACCTATATGCTGGATCGCGGCGTCGCCGTCTTCGGCGCCGTAGATCTCAGGTGCATAGGGCGGAGAGAAAACGTAACCTCTGGCGAGGCCGGCTTCTTCGGGATTGATGCGTCGACGGAACGACATGGTTGGCGGAGCGGAGGATGAGAGATTGTTCGTCGAGTAGACGTAATGCGCAGTAGCACATATTCGCTCATTGTTCTGACCCTGAACATGCCACGGCTCACCCTCATAACCTGGTTCCTCCGGCGTGAGGTTAATGTCTTGAAGCTGAAGAACCATCTGGACACCAACGTTCCAGAATTCCTTCTTCAGATCCACAAATATGACGTCTCGATATCGTCCTTGACGGTCAAGCCAATCAAGAGCTCGTTGTTCTGGGGGACGGAAAGGATCCGGCTCACGCTGGATCATGGGATCCCGTCCAAGCACTGCGAGGTGCATGCGTTGATTCTGCCATCCAGAAGCTTTGAGATCGATAAGTGTGTAGTTGAACAGAGGGAGGAACGAATCAATGAGGTTTTCTGTGATGTGGTATAGTGACCGATGAGTATAAGGGTGGACGTTGTTGATATAGCTAGCGATACTATGGGACGGGGAGTGGTTAGCTGATATAGATGCGCTCTTGATTTGTAACACCGTACCGTGAAGCGGTTTCACCTCTATCTTCAAATTGAACATCGAAAGGTAGCCATTGAAAGCGGTTTGACCAAGCATGATCGTTGGGATATTTTGGACGTCCTTTTTGGACGCAGTCCTCATCCGATGGCCTTTTCACCGCCTCACCCTCGCCGTACCTTGGGATACAATCATTTGAAGTCAGAGTACCGTCTCTCAGGGTTTTCGTTTGTGCAAAAATGAAAGGGTAAAGATACGGATCCACGATGTCTAAAATCATATGGCTCGAATAACTTGTGGAGTTTGTCGAATCTCTTCTCAGGGCAGCTGCAGCTCTCTGAAGATCTCTCCGAAGCGAGGCATCTACGCAGTCATCTGATTTGAGCACACCTCCGTCCAATGCTGGAATAAATCGTGTGGAGATAAAGTTGCGAACATAGTACTTGACTTCTTCAACACACTACGTAATTTTAGACGTCAGTCCAATGAAGAGTATTCTGCCGTCTTACCCAATCGGCCATGGAACGTGTTACGTCTTTCCCAAACGCAACTTTTGCACTCTTCCATTCAAAGGTGAAATCAGGATCAAAAATCTTGCGATCCCAGTCCGGCATATCAGTCAGTTCGTTGATCAACACTAGCATAGTCAGTTCCCGAACAGTATAGCAAAAGGTGCTGCAGATCAAAATTGGCTCATCAGCTATCTCAAATGGTCGTGGGAGGAATGGGAACTCACGGATTTTCAGATCCATCGAGTGCTGAAAGAAGCAGGGTGTTCTCGTCCGGCTGAAACAGAGGCTGCCACAATCTGCTTTGCATTTCTGGCCATCTCAACGGCAGCCCAAAACCGGGGACTGTCCATCCTCGTTGTTTCCTAGAAGCCATTGTCCTATGATGTGACTTGCAAACTCATTGCAACTATGAAGACAGTGCAGATAAGTACACAGTAAGAGTGGATCCAGCGATGACGCGACGAGGATGTTGGATGACAATGTTGGAGGAGAGAGTGGCTCCTTTTCTGGAGAGGCGCAGCTATATGTATGATCCTCTTGTCAGTTTAGATGTGAATATCGTGCCACCACTGAATACGTGTACACACCACACCCTCAATTCCCATAGAGTCAAAGGTACGGTGGCCGTAAAACGCCTGAAGCGAAATTAGCGCCGAGTGCAATTTAAGCCAGTCTTCTAACTGCCATCCTTTACCCTCATCTTCATATTCGATCTTCTCAACGACGCGTATGAAGTACCAGCATTTCCAAAGGCAAACTAATCACAGAGCCATCTATTCTACAAGGCGAGATTGCAGGTGGAGCGGTGCTGCCCCACGTCGTAATAGTCTTTCGAGAATTTGATTGGAAACAGCAGCAACACACCTCACTATGCAGACGCCGCAGCGGGCTTCTCAATCATTTCCTTCCAATGCTTAGCTACAGCCTGTTGACTCATGAATCCCAAATAGCACGAGATGCTGATGATTGGTGCCTGTTGGAAAGGGGCAGCGTTCGTCGGGGAATTTGCACCGGATCAAAGCCGGAGCACCGAAGAGGGTGGGGGGCCGAAATGTATTTCAGCCTCCAAGGAACAAACCGTTCGTGGGGCGTCGTATAAAATCGTCATTCCGAGTACGACAGTACCTCGCTCTGCTCTACGAATAGATCCCACATCTCTCGTATCATCTTCTCTCTGAAAGGCTGTGCATCCTGCCAGTGCTCAGCTTACCACAAACAGAAGTAGTGTGTGAGAGATACTGAAGTCTCCATGTTCTCGGCCTGTCTTTTCCGGTGAGACCTCCATTTCACGAAGGTCCCGATGTGTCGTTCTTCAATGTTGTCGAATCTTTGCCTGTATCACTGGCAATTTCTTCAAGAAAGCGTGATGCTACCTTCGCTTTCTTTATTCATTGACCTAGAGTGTGTGTTTTGGCTTGAGCCTGACTACCTTACCTGTTTTACTTAGTCCTTGAGGAAGGAGGGGTCTCAAAGGGTTCGAGGCCCAGCCATAGCCTCATGTTCATGGCCTCGCATCCGTGACGACTGTGCCTCAAGTTTCATGTGTCTGCTTCATGGCATCGCTTCCCTGGTGTAACATCTACCTGGATGTTCTTGCCATAAGGCGTAGAAGCACATGACGTACGGTATGTAGGCTTGGAGGTGAGACACAACTATGTTCGACATAGCCTCTACAAAAGTATAAAGAGGAGACCATCCGATCATCTTAGAGATAGGATACAATTCAACCACCTGTCAACAAATTCTAGCCTTCGTTCACTCTACAGTCTAGTTACTATCTTATTTTCAGTATGGTCTTCTCTTCCAAAGCCGTTTTACTCGCTGCCCCAATTTTCACTCTTCTCTTCTCTACGATCGTTACTACATCTCCTCTTGAATATGCCGAAAATCATGGAGAAGCAAATGATGCCCTCGTCATCCTCAGAAGACAGGTCGCGGACCCAACCAATGTTGCACCAGAAGATGAGACTGACGCAGAGATTGCTGCGGATGGCACTCGCCCTTTACGAAAAGGTATGAGAACTAAGTCTTTCCTCGTCAATTGTCAAACTGATACTTCGAAGCTGTCACTGCTCGATCTATCTATCTTGACCAAGCCACTGCAACATGGTACCAGATTGACGTAGCCTCTAACGATCTTGCTGCCTCCTTCACAAGTTTCACAGACACAACGGCTACAACATCTATTCCTCCGCCGGACGATCCCAAGCAGACATCAGGCCCGAATCCTTGGAATGTGGACCATATTTTTGAGCTTCAGATCATTGGGGAAGCGTTCAAAGCTGACAGACCGTACGCCACTGACGCTCAGAGCCTCAGATTGAGACGAAGAAGATGCTGATCAAACTAATAGTACTGATAATCCAACCTCTATCGCAGCAGCTGACTGGACAGCGGTAACCAATGCCGTCTTCACCTTATCTCCGTGAGCCTCCGTACCTTCATCCTCCCTCCGCCAATCCAATTAACCAAGCGCTCTCATAGCGCCTGCACAGCGATAGCCGAAGAAGTGACTGTCCTCCAGAACCTCGAAGGCATCCCCAACGCCGTCAACAGCTTCAAAAAGCAAGTCTTCACTGGCAATCTGACCGGCGTCGGCTTCCCAAGCACGGGCAACACCGCAACATACTACTCCTTCTTCGGCCCCGCGGTACAGAAGTATCTTGTATCGAACCAACCCAATTTTTTCAGCGTCAATGGCATCGTAGACAACATTGGCGACCAGCTGTCTAGCGCAGGTAATAACAATGCTGCTATCAAGGCGTACTTTACATCCTATGCTGCGTTCCATTACCAAGGCGCTATCGACTACCTCTCCACTTGGTCTGGCAAACCAATCACACGCACAATTGCAAGTTCTACAGCCGCGACAGGCACTTCCGCTGCAGCCGCGACTGTCACATGTCAGCATAACGCCGACCCGGATAACACGTGTGCCGCTATCGCTGACAGCCTTGGATACTGCGAATGCAACAACGACGGTAATACTTACGCTATCGAGCCCAGTGCTCCAAACCCTTGCGGCTGGACAACTCTGCCACCTACGACTTCCTTTGACTGTAGCAGCACCCCGCCACCTGCTCCCGTCGTCGTGACACCTACGACTACGCCTCTCGCTTGCACTTTGCGGTAAGACATTCTTCCCTGGGTAAAATACTAGCCCTATTGGTGTATGCTGACGATTTCTTCCGTGAGTGCTAGCGATGAAGTAATCGGCGGCGGTCGTGACCCTGAAATCACGCATATCTGCACCTGTAACGATGGATCGTCTCCTTCTGCGACTGTGAGCGGTGATGAATATGCTTGTCCGGCGCAGGTTAGCATAATCGCGAAGAGGAGTCCATGGAATGGTATCGATTTGGGCAACTTTGCTCAATAGAGCCGTGGTGATTGAGGATGCCGTTTCGCGAACAGCCAGATTGCTATATATCGAAATGTCGAAAATTCAGCATGGGGAATTGAGTGATGTTGTAGTATTGGCTATTTGGTTGTATTATACATTGAATAACGATGCCTTGGGTTATTTCGGCAATTGTACAATGAAGGAGTGGCAAGTAGGCAAGGATCTTTTCAGCGTCCTTGGATTTTAACCATGAAGTCTGGCCTTCAAGGTCTCGCGGGTAACGAGATTGACCAGTATCACACGCCCCTGTCCTCAAGTGCGTGTGTGTGAGCCCAAAAACTCGACGGCCTACTTCCAAACCGTACGCGTATGGCTGAGCCTCAGCAGCGTCTGGAGGTCACCAAGGTGCCGCAGCTTCCTAGGCAACACAGCGCGTGTCTTTAATGTCCATCAGAACATCTCCGCCCTGGGTGACGAGCTCAGATCCCCACTCACAAACGAGCGAATCCCGGCTAGCCGTGAGTCTGAATTACTGAGACTACCCTGTCAAGGGTAGGAGACATCTGTCCACTACGAGCTACATATCCACCTGTTTTGCACCTGACAATGGCTCTATATTCGATTTCGTCTCTTTCAGAGCCATTACATACATTTTATCCCACCCACCCACACCTTTGTATATAGTTAGCTACCATTTCACTCCAGGTCTATGCTATAGGCATGGGAGTTTTCTCGGCGCTGGGGTACGAATACATCTATTCAGGCCTCTATTCAGGTGTTATCCCGGCGTCGGGATGGCCCAACCACTTGATACCTCATACCTATGTGCCCTGTGTATGTGTGATGCGTGAGAATGAGAACACTTACATATCGTTGATATTCGCCACCGAACTTTATTATATAAATCGCTTAGTTCTATAAAATATTTAAATAGTTTTAAAAACTCTAATTGAGAGTGAGCGAGTATAAGTATGATTTTTAAAGACGTTATAAATTAATTATACTTCTTTAGTTTATATATTATTTGTTAGCAGCAGCCCCTACGGGGGCCTTGCGGGGGCTCTGCGGAGGTATTTAAATCCAAATAGGGGTGTCTGGCCGTCAAGCGCAGACACCCCCGGGACTAAGCTTTTTTAGCTGAGTTGCTAACACTCTATATGGATGAGCAAGGCAAGTCGAGAATATAGGGGGTGAATCCACTGGGTAACCAAGATGAGTCGCGGGTGTAGGGGTGAGTGTAAAAGGTGAGTAACCAAGATGACCATCATAGGCTGCCGAGCGTCCACGCTAGAGATAATTTACATGTTACTCGCGAATATTGATGGGCAGCAAGTTAGGACCGAAGAAGCCTTTGGAAATATCACGTGGAATGGTGGAAGATACTGTGGTGAGTTGTTTCAATCAAGACTGATGGAGCATCTGAAGACGTTTGATGACATTCGTGAAGCGTGTCTATAGGATTCGTTCATTAATCTAGCCGCGAGGCCCACCTCACTCAAATAAGGAGCTCTTCACCCATCCATGCTGTCTGTGATGAATGTATCCAGTATTGAGGAGTGCCCAGCGCCATTGTGGCCAGAGACCGTATTCCATCGCAGTGTCACTCGGTGACAAACCCTCATGGTCGACGACATTCGGGTCACATCCAAGTTGGAGTAGGGTGAGCAGCTTGAACATCGTGCGCTTATTGAGTACCTGCACCGGATCCCGAATCTTCTCCAGGGCGCCGTCATCATTTTCACAGAGAATATAATCAATGCTGTACTCATTCGCTGCGCTATCCGCTTCATTGAACATATCGTTGACTATATCGTCTTGAAGTGGTCCAGGGTCGGCGCCTTCGTCATCGTAGTCCTCCTTGTGAGAGTCATCTTCTGTGTTGAAGAATTCCCGTGCATACCAGATCGCTGCATCAGCTGAACGATCAGGCCCGTATTGATCCTCGATGTATAGCGTACCGAAGCAGTCGTGAAAGAACTCTGGAGCGGCGAAAGCACAGTGTAACACGCCTCGGCCTTCGGGATCAGTTGCGTGAGGGTTAGCCCCACGTCCAATGAACAATCTGAGACATTTGACGATATGAGGCAACTGTTGAGTAGCTGCAAAGAGCAGTGGCGTGAGTCCATTAGCGCTCTGCTGTTCTATGTCATATCCGATATTGAGCAAGAATTGAAGGGTCTCAATAGGTAACGTTGGATGCGCTTGAGACCAATCCCAAAAAGTGACATGGAAGAGAGCATTGGCATAGGATCTATTGAAGGAAACTTTATCCTCGATATCGCAGCCGTGGTTCAATGCAAGGCGTGTCATATCCACGTTTGCGTCAAAGGCCACGCGATCTTGACGTCCCTCTACGAGAATGTCGGTTTCTGTATAAATGCCCCAAATGGCCCAGATGACATCAGTCGTATTGGAATATCTACGGTGATGTCATCAGGATTTTCAAGAGATATCCAGGGAATGCAGCGCTTACAAGTTGCAATTTTGTGTGCCTGCTCCACCTTCCAAAAGCAGACGAAACATATCAGAGCTTCTGTGTTCCATGGCATACTAAACTGGAAGTTAGTGTTCGTTGTCTCACGTGCAGCATCGGGGCTGGATACCGAGAGCAATGAGAAACCACCCGAGTCAACATCTAAAGGGGAGGCTTTTCCTTCTGTGAAAAGCCGTTGCACACCCAATATATCATTCCTTCGTATGCAACGGATGACCTGTGAGTCGTTTGGTATTACATTGAACGTTCTGAGGCGTGGAGAGATGCGGCAACCTCGTGATATAGATGAAATATTTTGAAACGCAGCAGAGATCCCGATTGTACGTTGCTGACTTCTGGGTATGAAAGATATGTTGACCACACACGGCACATCCGAAGTATCAACGTATGGGGATTCTCCAGGTGGCGTGCTGAATTCAATGTTGAGCCTTCCCATCGATGTCCGGTGCCAAGTCCTACTCGTGAGCTTCAGTTTAGGCCTATTGTCGAAGTGCCTTTCTTCTATAGGCTGGCGTCCGGTCTTTGGCGCCTCATATTCGTGGTCGTCTTCCAACGTCAACGAAAGGCTGGTTCCATTGCTAGTAACCGGCCTTGCCGCCTGTCGACGCCGGATAGCTTGCGCAGATAGTTCATAGCTCCGACAAATCAGTTCTTCTATCTCCAGCGATAGCCAGGTACTCTGTAACGTAGAGTAAAGACGATCGAGTGTGGAACCCTGACTGATCCGAACGCTCGGAACGAGCTCTACGGACTCGATAAAATTTGACCTTAGCAATTGCAATGGGAGCATAACACTCTCAGGATCCGTATGATCGGAGGCCAGGAAAGTACTCAAGGGTCGTGATGGGTAGCGAGGTGACTGAAAAGCCATAGCGGGCGATCCAGATGACGAACTCATGCTTGGGGAAAAGTTAAGATATCTGCGCCAGTCGATGCTGGATACCTGTGAACTACTCGCTCTGGAAAGCTGGGTAGTAGGGAGGTGCTTGCGGGATTCGTCATCCTGCAGTACTCTACTGATACCGCTATGTTCACCCTGCATTTCAGTACTTGAAATCACGTCTCCCCCGAAGTCCGCCCCTTCTATTTGTAGAGGTGCTGCAATAGGAGCTTCTGCCATAACCAAGTCACCCGAAGATTGACCAGCATATGCTAAACTATGGGTGTCAGGTTCTTGCATTACCGGTGGAATATCGAAGTTGAAGTCGAAGTCAAACTCGAATGGGTTGTGGAAAGCAACATTTGGGCTTCCTCTGGTCTGGTACTGCTCGAGGAGCGGCATATCGAAAATTTGCGGCGCAATGGATTGACGATCAGTAGAATTCAACGAAGCGCCACTTAGAGCATCTTGAGGGCTGTGCTGCCGCGAGGTGTACATTTTGATGTATGATGGAACAACTAGAGATAATTTTAGACCCGCAATCCACCCCAGAGATTGAAACTCACAGTCTGGCGATTGCAATGGCCCTCTTTGTCTCTTCCAAGCACGCTCCATTCGTTCTTGCTCAACATCATGACCTTTGTACTGGAAACGAGCATCTTTGCCAAGACGCTGTCGCTTTCTTTTCAAGGACAGCATGACCCTCAAATCATCGTCTGGGATATACTTCTTGACATCCCATTTCTTGAAACGGTTCTTGAGCTGTACTTCCCTGCTTGGTCTCAATATCGCTCCGGGTTGCAAGTCTACCGCACTCGAGGCTCAAGCTTACGTGATAATGAAATGGTGCTTCTCCGCCATGATAGCAACAATCTCTTTGCGCGGTACATCATCTTCCAGGAAGAGATTCACCAGCTTCTCTCTCCAGATCTCCCATTCTCCGTCCGGTATTCGCCGAGCTCGCTGGGGCACTGAAGACCCACCTTCAGCGGGCCTTGTGGATTGAGAAGCCATTTTGCTCGAAGGAATTCGCCGAAAGATCGAGATTGCCACAATGTATTTACACTGGGACCGGTAGGTCACCAGGCGAGAATATTACTTATGACTTTGAGATGGTGTCAGAGGCGGTGTGGATCCGCGCACCATCTCCAAGGCAGAAGTCTGCCTGGAGGCCTGCATGGTAGCCTTGTTTTATGAACCTAACAGAAAGTGGCCTAGTGTTCCAAAAGCACTTTTCAAACTATTTCGGGAAAGGCGTGGATTTTGCTAAGCGAGCTTTAGTCGACCAGATGGTAATACATCTTAATCCGAGGCTCATCTCAACCCAATTGACGAAACAGAAAGCACATATGATTTCTGAGAAGGCAGCTGCAATGGCTAGCTGGGATCGTGCTTATATATGGGCATTTCTGCCCATTCAACCTTCCAACCTTTCCAATCTCTTCTCCCAGCAATTAACATAATAGATCTCGTCGTGCCTTCAGAAGGTCCAGATGTGAGTACTGCCGTCTCGATTGACAATTCATAACAATGACTAAGTATTCTACGAAGCCACATTCCACAATGCAAGACGAACTCCGCCAGCTCCAAGAGGCCGAAGGGGAGCAACATGCTGACAGAAAGAAGACTGGGACGAGTAAAAACGTTTGTGCTCCACCAACAGCAATTCTCAAAGACCTACGACCGATGCTGACGAGTTTGATAGTCTAAAGCAGCGCCACCCGCGGCTGCTGGTCATTACCTGAAAAGGACATGGTCAACGGGAAATGAACCCTCGGGTGAAAGAGAGCCAAAGCATGCGCTTGTGTCCAACAACTCGTCGACAGTCGATCGGTGGTTGAAAGAATCCATGAGAGAGCAGCCATGGAACAATATCGGCGCAATCCTCGAGCCCCCTCCTACCAAGGAGGCGCCTGGGATGAGAGGTGAAACCGGTAGCAACAGTGCTGTAGCTGGATCTGAAGAGCGAAAATGATTTGAGTCCGATAGGTAATGACCCATTGATGAGATGAAAGTGACTTATAGAGCTAACAAGGTATTTCTAGCCTCGCCGCGGTCAGGCTGTCGGAAAAGAGCGTTGTGTTGAATCATTTGGAGTGTGGAATATAACGGCATCGCTAGGACATAACCACATTCTTTCCATGTAAACGTTTTTTGGGCCTCGCTCTAGGAAAACTCTGTGTCTCAGAGAGCTGCGGATAATCAAAGATCGATAGCAAATCTCAAGAAGGGCCAGCAAATCAGTATCATATCGTCGTGGTTCTACATAGCCCATGTAAAGAAACCCTGTAGAAAATTCCAATTCAATACGGGCCTCTGACAACGGCAAATAGCGCTCGCTGAAATCGCACTCGCAAGTGATGATGATTCAGATCTGTTTGAAGGAACCTGCCTTCAGCTACTGGGTGCTATCTCGTGTTCAATAGAAGACAACATTCCTCACCTAACGATCAGTCCTAGCATGGTAGCTATGTCCAGATCTTCTCAAGGGCCCAGCTTCTTTGCAGCAAAAGACCATCTCTTCTCGCGCAATCGCTCGGAGATGGTGGATGTACCCGAGCGCTTAGAAGTAAAACTCCAGTTCACATTGGCTCACTCTTATCTTTATCTTGATCACGTTTGATGACTGCTATGGCGAGGGTACAGAGCTCCATAGCGATTTGCTGATACTCTGTGAAAGGTTGAAGTCACGAACGGGCGACGAAGATCCATCGCTAGCTTGTACAAAAACACTGTGTTTGACTTCCTGTCTGCTGCACTGAGAATAGCTTCCGCCGTATCTGTGGGCACTCTCTCCTCATCCTCTGCGGCCTTTCCAGGCGACAGCATTCGCGTTGCACAATGAGTCACAAGGCATAGACGTTTCCTTCCCATGAACTGCTCTGTTTTAGCCAATGATTCCTGCTGCTGACATGACTGGTACTGTCGCTAGAGCAACTGAGCCTGGCAGGCCACCTGTCGCTGCTCGAATCCTGGACGAACGGACAAACTCCACGGGGGCGAAGATTCCGCGAATCTCGAGCTTTGATGTACTTCAAAAGGCCGTGTTTGCTGCTGAATCAAGAAAAGTATTCATGGGTCTGTGGAGCGCCTGCATAGACATTGGTCTAATCGGACTTTATATTCATGTGCTGGGATATCGCAGACGTATCCTGACCATTCAGAACAAGATGCATCAGATCTAGCAGCATATTCGAAGAAGTCTGGACAGGGGAACCCACCATGGGTATCTATTTCCGTGCAAAATCTCTGAGATCTTCTTGTACACCTGTACATCGACCAGTATCAGTCCCGTGAAAACTCATGTGGACATCGGAGTCACAGACTATAAATTGGAACCTTCAAAACGAGCTTCGCAGCTTGTAAGCCAGACATAATCTCGAAGCGCCAGCCCCAGTGAGAACCTAGTTCTGATCACCCTCGGACCCGGCATCTCGGGGCTGTACAGCGCCCTCGGATATGCAGATCCTTGCCGTCCTCCTCGGGTCCCGGTCCCAGCGCTTCGGCGCTGGGATTTGATCCCGGCTGCCGATTGGTTCGAGAGAAGCACTGCGGTGACTTGGCCGAGCCTGCAGCACACTTATGCACATGCACATGCAGTAGCGCAAACATTGCTTCGTCCGTTAAAGTTCCGCCTTGCGCTAGAGAATGCGTATGATAGAACAAGGACAAGGAGGGCAGGTCAATGCATGCTCATATCTTCTTCTTCTGATATCTCGCATCCAAACCAACGGCCACTTTTGATCTTCACAGGTCGAATCCAGACGGCAAACAGAATGTTCGTCTCTTTATTTCAGCTTACCGTTGCTTGTGTCACTGCAGCTTCACTCTATCTATCGTACTGGAACATCACTGCTTCCATCGCTCGTCGGAATGCCATCAGCAAACACCGTTGCAAAGCCCCATTGGCTTACCCTCACAAAGACCCCTTCTTCGGCCTCGACGCCGTTCGGGATGCGATTACCGCAGCCAAGTCAAAGACTTCGATCGCGCGCCAAATCGGACAGCATCTGCGCTATGGAAGTACCTTTTCCTCCAAGTTCTTCATGACTCCCGTCATCAGTACGTCGGAGCCGGAGAACATCAAAGCCGTGCTCTCGACAAACTTCGGCGACTACGGTATCGGCTCACGTCGAAAACGGGCCTTCGCTCCACTTCTGGGCAAGAGTATCTTCCAGGTCGACGGACCGCAGTGGAAGCACTCGCGGGATCTTCTTCAGCTTTGTCTCACGAGGAGCCAGGTGGTCGATCTGCCGATGTTTGACTTGCACGTTACGAAGCTGATCAAGGCCATCTCTAGGCATGGATCCGCGACCGTCGATCTGGGAATCTGGTTTCCCCGGCTGATAGCCGATTTTTCCACGGACTGCTTCTTTGGCAAAGGGATGGGTTCGATCGAAACACCTTCGTCTTTGAGCACCGAGTTTGTGCAAGCTATGCACGACGCTCAAGCGGGCTGTGAAGATAGGTGGAAGCTGGGTCATTTCAGCAGCCTGTTCCCGCACCGGGAATTTTACAGAAACGTCAAGAGAGTCCATGAGTTCATCGACCAGCATGTGGAGAGAGCTATGGGATTGCACGATTGCACGGAGGGAAGGCCAGAAGTTGGTCGTTCCGAAGGAGAAGACCGGCGCGTCTTTCTCTATGAGCTCAGCAAGCTCACCGACGACCAGCAATTCCTTCGCGACGAGATCCTGACCATCTTTTCTGCTGCCTTCGATCCTGTTGCGGCTCTTCTCACGAACCTTTTCTTCATTCTTGCCAAAAGGCCCGATGTATGGGAGCTCCTGCGTGGAGAGGTGAGGCCCCTCGATGGTAAAAACCCGGATATGAGCCAGCTCCGGTCTTTGAAGTACCATCAGTTCTGTCTCAAAGAATGTGAGGGTCCTCACACGACTTCATGGCTAGAATTGATTGGAAATTAACCATTGGCTTAGCTCTGCGACTTCACCCAATCCTTCCTTCCAACTCCCGAGTAGCGTATAAGGATACCATTCTCCCTCGTGGTGGAGGTCCTGACCAAAAGTCGCCAGTATTTGTCGCAGAAGGAACCATGGTCGCTTTTGGCATTGCCGCTATGCATCGTCGTAAGGATTTATGGGGCGAAGATGCAGATGATTTTCGGCCTGAGCGATGGAGAAATGATAAGTCATCCTGGGTAAGCATTGTCCTTTCGCTCGGGCTCGCTCTACTGTATTTGAAGGTTGCATTTCAGCATCCTGAGGCAGTCAATATTTCACAAGAGAGATGCTAATACATATGGCGCACTGTTTAGAAATTCATCCCTTTCAATGGCGGCCCAAGAGTTTGTCTCGGCCGTAAGTTCTCTTTCTCAATCTTTCGTTTCTTTCCCCTCAGTACATGTTTTCTCAGCCCCATTTTTCTGACCAAGAACAGAAGACTTTGCCATGAATTTGACTATCTACACACTCGTGCGCCTTGTGCAAGCTTTTCAGAGCGTCGAGAGCCGCGATGGCAATGAGTGGGTGGAAGAAATACACCTGGCCTGCACGAGCCAGAACGGGGCGAAGGTCGTGATGAAAGCGGGTTGAGCCCTGCAACCGGGATCTGGAGAGGCTCACCATTTGACGTATGGGTTTGAGGGAGAAGGAACATGTAGAGAGATGCTGATATTCGTGGACTGGTTGTTCCTCTATTGCTTGTTGTTGCACGGAAACCTGGCTGTTCCCACCAGGTCGCAGTACTTCTCGTAGGCTCCAGTAAGAGCAGCAATCTTCGGCCCTGGAATTGCGGCTAGGGGCCTCAAATAGAGCCAGTGAATCAGGCCGTAAAACATAGGCTAGAAGAGCGCTAACGGAAATCAATGTGCTTTGTGATGGTCGGGATTTCGAGTTGGCAATGGTATTTAAGCCGTCCGGTCCGTTGCATGAGGGTGCAATGCAGCTAGATAGTAGGGCTGAATAGTGAATGGTGCCAACTAGTCGCTAGATGCATATGAGCCATCTTTCAAGCGCAAAATCGCTATGCACGTCGGGCGTAAAACGAAGAACCTTAATTTCCTTCGTCTCTCTTGAATTTGGTGGGAAAGAGCCCCGTACACGCTGGTTCTTGTCTTGGGCCATGTGATGCAAAATGCCAATATATGGACTGGTCCTTAGACTCTGTGCTCATGGTCCGATGAAGCTGGGATATCTCATCCTTAGGACTGGTATCCTCGGTCGTTTAACTGCAGCAAGATTTTCGTCCACTCTTCTAGGGTAGAGTATTAGATCAAATAAAGTTCCATCAACAAAGCTGTCTTCCATCTCTCATGTCCTTTCTGTCACAAATTTAACAGACAACATTTAACACCAGCGGTGCATCGCGACGGCCCATGGACTGGCCAAGAATGGTGTTACCATTATCCAATGTAGGTCACCCTGTCCTACAAGTCAGGCCAGAGTTGACTCCCCTCTACCCCTCCAGTCTCAGAATGTTCGAGCTTCCTGCGACGTTGTTTCTGCCATCTCGAGACACCCAACACCGAAGACAGAGGCGTTCCGACTATTGGACACCTGGTTCTGCCCAGCCACCGAGGACGCCAGGTTCTGGTGGCACATGATAGGTCGCCCTCTAGCTCTGTTACTTCACGAGGCTGGTTACGATATCCATAATCAATATGGAAGTCTTCTGTTTTTCCGCCATTGTATCGCCGGTCGCTTAGGAGCTCGCCCTACATCCACGGGATCTCCGCAGGTTTGGAAAAGTTTCATGACAGACGACTTCAGTCCCGTTGAGTACAGTTGGTGCTGGGACACGCCAAAGGGACCACCCAGAATTCGATTCAGTGTTGATGCAATCGGTCCCGACGCGGGAACACAGTCGGACCCTTTCAACCAGGAGATGACGACCGACCTTGTCCGACACGTTGAGTCTGTTGCATCAAATGTTGACTGGAAGTTGTTCAATCACTTTCGCAACGCATTCTGCGAGCAAGGATTGGAGAAGCGTGTCAGCGAGGGATGTGACGATCTTGAGAAGAGCCACACGTCTTCGATCTTCATGGCGTTCGAACTGCACAAAAGCGAAGTCGCTGTGAAAGCATACTTTGTTCCGGTCAAGGCTGAACAGACGGGCCGCTCAAGGCTCTCCGTACTCTCGGACAGCATCGTAAGCTTGGAAAAGTCGGACCTTCGAGTGGGAGCCTATGACCAGATGCTTGCCTTCATGACCAGTGACGCGGAAGGGTCACATCTCGAAATCGTGGGAATTGCAGTCGATTGTGTACTTCCAAAAGATTCGCGCTTGAAACTGTACGTCAGATCGCCTTCAACCTCATTCGACAGCGTCTGCGCGATCATGACCCTGGGCGGCAAATTAAACACTTTTCCTCAAGCTACGTTGAAGGATTTCCGCAAACTCTGGCAACTCACCTTGGGTCTCGGCGAAGACTTTGCTCCTGGTGCAAATTTACAAGCCAAATCCCATGAGACGGCAGGCGTATTGTACAACTTCGATATCAAAGCAGGAAACCTTTTGCCAGAGCCCAAAGTGTACATCCCTGTGAGACACTACGCCCGCAACGACCTGGCCGCTGCCGAAGGCTTGGCGTCTTATTTGAAATCGAAGGGTCAGGATCGTTTTGTGGAGAGCTACATGCGAGCGCTGGAGGGTATGTGCACACATAGGTTTCTGGGAAGCCAATGTGGACTGCAGACTTACATCTCATGCGCGGTGCAAAACGCGCAGCTGGTATTGACATCGTACCTTTCGCCAGAAATCTATCATGTTGCTAGATGGAAAGCATAGATAGCGGATTATACTGCATCCCCTCCCCTAAGTTCGAGTAGATTTTGACTCAAACATTTGATATAGCCCTTCGGTACCTTTCTTGTGAAGTTTGACTCGGTGCGTTTGGTTCTGATACCACCATGGTTCTTCTTCGAAGTTTTCCTTCTTAATAAACGCATTGCAGATAGCTCCAATTCTTTCACAATCATCTAACAGGACTCCATACCATCCTCATACTGCTGCGACGGCGAAGGCAGGACTCACAACAGGCAGAGAGCCTGCTGTATTGTTGCGGGCTTCGTCTGGGCACTCGTTCGCTAACTGGCCTCCATCTCAGTTGCGCCCCGCTTGGCGTTCGAGCGTCAGCGGCCGTAGCCTCTGCAGATCACGTTGGGTGGTCGCGGCCCACTACGATTACCGGGACCTCTGCTGCCCCCTGAGCCACTCAAGAATTGCCCACAGTCGGTGCCGCCTTTTGTACCCTAACGCGAGCTATTCTTGCTTATACCGCATCTATTCGGTTGGTTGGCTGGTACGACTGTTGGAGGGGCGGTTGATGCGCTTTTTTGGGTGATGATGGTGGTGATGATGATGTATGGATGCGTAGGACGTGCTTGCCACTGATTGTTCCGAGATGACCAAACAATTCCCCAACCAGGGGCCGCGATAAAGCAGAATGCGATGCGCATAGCACTGGAGATAGAGCGGGTCACTGATGGCAATCCAGCAATATTTCTGACTCGCAAACGAGGCCTTTCATCATAAAGACGAGGAAGCTTTTGTAGCGGCTGGATGTTAACATGGAGACGTGGGAATTGGTACGGCTCGAAAAGGCGCTCATGCTGTCAATAAAGAGACGACATACTCAGGTAAAGGTGCTTTGTTGCTAAACTTTGAGCACTGAGACTCAAGCTCTCCACGATTTCATGAAAGACTCTCTTGTTGTAAGTTCTTTCATGACCTCTTGCTGTTCCACTATTTGCACATCTAGGTTACTGTCATCCCAGTAAACGAAGTCGAATCGGTGGGAAGGGTGCGTGATTTCGGCAGATGATACACACTTGAAGCAATAGTCGAAGTTCGGGCATTCTGAGCATTTGAACCGAGAGCCAACGATAATCTTTGGAGGGTCAGCAGTCTCGTCCAACGGAAAATCATCGAGACTTCTACGACTCACTAGTTCACAGCCGTCGCAAGAAAATCGAGGGTGCCGCAAGGACATGCTTGAATGTTGGGTCTGGAACATTCCTGGAAGTGGCCTGTTGTAGGGTCTCAAAATCGCCGCCGCGCGGACATTGCCATGGTATGTAGCAACTGCAAAAGGGATCCACTCTTCGTCGCCTTGGTAGAAGCTCTCAGCGCCTGCATGTAGTAGCAATTTTATATTGGTAATGTTTCCTGCTTTTGCAGCCCAGAGCAATGGCGTCCATCCATCGACGTCGCACTGGCTTGGATCGAATCCTTGTTCGAGCAAGTACTCAAGGACTGCGCGACACCCTGCAACTAGACCTGCAGCTGCATTGTGAAGACATGTGCGCTGCTGCTTGTCCAGCGCCTCGAGATTAAAGCCACGGTTCTTGAGATACCGAAGACATCTAAATCTCCCTCTATTTGCAGAGATATGTAGAAGGCTCCTTCCTTCCGGGTCAAGGGGGGGCTGCTCTGAAGACTTCGCAAGCAATATTTCGAGCATAGGAAGATGACCCTTGAATGCAGCTATCCTCATTGCATCATCGAGAATACCACATTGGGCCTGTCTTTGCAAGTCATGCTTCAACAAGATTCTCGCTGTCTCTCCATCGCCAGATTCCGATGCAAGAGTAAGTGGGGCAGCTCGATATCTATTTCTCAGAACGACGTCCGCACCTCTTGTCAAAAGTAGATGCGTTAGCGACTTTTGTCTTTTCGTGATAGAAAGATGTAATGCCGTTTCTCCTCGGAGATTGACAGCATTCACATCAGCACCGTGCTCTAAGAGCAGTTGGGCCCCTTTCAGTAGCGTATCTGACGCTCTGACGTTTCGCTCTATCCAGCCCCAAGGCTCAGACACTATTGAATTGAACATCATAGATGCCATATGCAGGGACGTATTTCCATCGCGGTCTGTTGCAGTCATGTCTGCACCGTTGCTCAACAGCAATTCCAAGATTCCTACGTGTCCACAACCGGCGGCTTGATGCAAAGCAGTATCCCCCCAGGTCGTCTTCCAAGCTACGCTTTGTCTTTGGCTGGCCAGCAGGTGAGACACTGTATGTTCCAGTCCGTACACAGAAGCAAGCCACAACGCTGAGACTTCAGAGGGAAAGCGACGCATTTGAAAGCTGCCCATTGATTCTCTGAAAAACAGTACTTGAACGGAGGTAGATATTTTGGCGCTCTTTGAAAGGAATGAAAGTATCACGTCTTTGCAGAGTTCTTCTGCTCCTTGACGTGCATGCCGGCCCCAGTTGAGAACTGCGTAGCGTAGCAGAGGGTACCGTTGTAACCGAAGCTCAAAGTCTTTGTCTTCAAAGCATGGTCCTTGCTCGAATTCGTCAAAGGAGAGGTATGTAAGACAGGTCCGTACTATGTCGACCTGAGCTTCTGGAAAAAGGCAGTTCCCTTTCTGCTCCAGATATTGTTGAAAAGTGTAATGGACCAGGGCCAAGAAGCCCCCCTCCTTCTCATTTGTGACAAGACCATTGCACACCGACAAAAGCAGGTCTTCCTCCGGAATGTTGTCTTCGTCTAGAGCTGAGTCACCAGTCTCCACTGCTAGTGCGTGCCGTATTTCTAACATCGTAAGGGGCCGGGAAGCATAGAATACCCAACACAGAACTTTTCTGGCCAAAGTAGCTTGATCAGGATGCTGAGATTCGATTCGTTCCATAGCTTCGTCATAGGTATTGTTTAAGCCTTCGGGCAAAGCCGTCAAAGCATTCCTCGCTTTGCGAAGAGTTGTCTTTGTTGTCAAGAAATCCAGGTGGAGACGGGCTTGTAGAAACCTTTGCAATTATTAACGCAAGAGAAATGGAACGGCTGAACATTGAGAGATTAGTAGTCTTACATTCCTTCAGCTCTGGCAGCAATGGTCGTTGAGATAAGATTGCATAAGGTTGGATCTTTATCAGCATGAAACTTGAGCCTCTCCGAGCTCGATATCCGCTCTCGAAGATACTCTAAAATATCGTCAGCTCTAGCTCGTATATCTAGTCGAACCGCTTCTGAAAGTTGGCGTTCAATGGTTGGTATGTTCCTTGAGGTGATCAGCATATTGACATGTAGGTGCTGCAACTCTGTCACTAGAGAACCTCTACGCTCTTCAGGGTATTCGTCAAAAGCATCGATGACGAGGAATATTGTAGCACAACGGCTGACAACAGATCTCAATAACTGCATGCACTCCCCATGCGATGGACGTGTTGCTCCAGATCCGTGGGCTTCGTAAGCTTCGATCAGATCAACCAACAATACTGGCTCCAAGAACGCTATTTGGCAGACCAAGCTCCCCAGTAGGTTTGTAATAGTCTGTTTCTCTGCATCTTTGTAGCTAAGGTAGATGTAGGCAAGACGGGTGTCTTTCTGATCCACGAATGCTTGCAAGTGGTTGATTGCATAGGAGCTGTCGAAGGTGTTAGCAGAGCGGATGAGAACAGGACGCTGCAACGAGCTCACGCAAAGATCGTTTTTCCGGTACCCTCTGTCGATGTCAGCACCTTGTTGTGATGAAAGCCTGCGGGGATTATCAGGTAAATAATAATGTTGACTTACGTATGCCTGGACACCAAAGCGTTTCCCCAGGTCTGCTGAGCCAATGCCTAAATTCCGCGGTCTCCAGTAGCGATCGAGCGGCAGCATCCTGCCGCCCTGGTGTATTGAAAGTGTCTAAATGCTTTTTTTGGAATTCCGCGGTCAGAGGCGAAAGCCAATTATACACATTGCGACAGTACTCATTGCTCTGAGTCGCTACCAAACCATCGATAGATTTGGAGGTCTTTCGAGAGGAAGCTTCTATACTCTGGACGTTACCGAAAATCGCGGCAGATCGTTCTTGCAATATGTCAACATTAACGGAGACATTTGTTAGTCCGTGAGCAAGCAGGTCCAACTTCTGCAAAGACGCCGCAGAGCACTCAATCTGTAGAACTTCCAGGGCTAGCGTGAGGTCGTGTCGTAGCTCGATACCAAGCTCCTTGAGCTTTGCCAAGGTACTCTCCTTGAAAGGGAATAGTGTCCTTCGAAATTGCGCCATACCCTTGGCTTTCCATCCTGATTGTAGGGGAACGACGCGAATCTTGTCCAGCTTCTTTCGAAGGCTCTCAAGGCCCCTCTCCACAGACCTGATACTTTCTTCAATTCTTTGCACACTATCACGGCTGAACACCGTAGATCCAATGGCCGATTTGAGGAGTTTGAAGGTCTCGGTCAACGCCTCAATCGATGAGTACATGTGTGCCACTTGGTCCTCTGCATCCTTCCAAGAATGATAGTAGTCTAGCAAGCCTTGGCAGATAGTTATGCCAAGGGAGATGAGGCCCGCAGCCCCGGAAGAGAGGCCTAGAGGTTCCATCTGTCGACACAGATTTCAAGTACCATTGAGGAGCTCAAGATGAATGCGGATGAAAAGTGCAATAGAATCCTTCAAATAGAATCCTTCAGCCTTGTGTTTCGAAGCTGCCACGGCGCGAGGCGGTGCCATGACGCAGCCATGCAGCGACGCTATCGCACGAACATGCGTAGCACCGTGCCGCCAGCAACGATGACGGCTCCATTTTCTCTACTTTTTCCACCAATGCAACTGCTTCAATATCGGCATGGGCAAATGCATCACTAAGGCATGGACCATCGGACGGAGACGAATAGAATAATAGGTGGAATTTCATGATTTCATCCAATCAGGCGCTTCCGCGCGCCAAAAGTCTTGGCGAAGCAAACGCGCTTTCCACGTCTTCTCCGTTCTTCTGGGGGATCTTTGCTCGCCCACGAGTGTGGACTACCCTTACTGGGAATTGAGACTCCAATCATCCGATTGCTTTAGCGCAACTGCTCCTAAGCGTCTGACTTCAGCCCTTTCCAGTGTGCACTGCTGCTGAGGTGCAATGCACCGTTCAATGGCTATCCTTTCGGTCTGCTGCCTTGGTCCCGAATTCTCGTAGTGCGCCTGAGCAGCCCAAGCGTAAATGGAAAGCTGGGGAACAAGTCTGGGTCTGATCCCAAGGATTGGTGGGTTTCCTATCAATTGAAGCGTGATCCTTTCCCTATTGTGCACGGCGTACACTGCACTTCTTGCCTAACAGGAAATGCTCTTTCGAGTGATCCGATTCCCTCTGTGAATGTCAGACCATGAGACGGTGTAACGGTCAAGATCTGGGTACGGAGGTTCGTGGTCGAAGGCTTCATCGATCACCCTGTTGGCCTTTCGGGAGAGGCGCCCATACGACCTGCGAGAAAGTGTTGTAATTGATGATTATCCGTTCTGAGATAGAGTTAGCACAGGCAAAGCGCAAGACGTCGGTCACTCACGGCTGAAATGGCTGACAAACACTGGGTACCACGGCTCTTGGTTGAGAACTCCATTGGTTGTCCTCATTGCTTTCTGATAAGGCGCCCACGCTGCATCCATGATGCTGTTTTAGTCTGATGCCGGCTCTTCCGTCCAATTGTGAGCATGTGTAAGCGACTCTATGGCCTCACGAGCGTCGTGCTTGTCCGAAAAATGCAGAAGAGGGTGATGATCCTCAACGCCGCGCTAGCCCCCTTAGCGCGCGCTCGTTCATCAACACAAGTGCAGCTGACCATCAAGTCCGACTCCTGGGGCAGCCCAGCCAGACAGACAGAGCCTTAGGAACAACAGCAAAAAAGGAAAGACACAAAAAAGGAAGATATAGACAGCCTCAGATAAAAAAAGAGAGGGAAAAAAATAAAAAAGAAGCTCAGTCGAGAATCAAACTCGAAGTGTCCAGGAGCATTTCCTCCGCCGACCCACCGACATGCCTCCATAAGGTGCAATGAGACACACCTAGAAAGTCCTGCAACGCTTTCCACTGCGCCATCCGAGCTGGGACCATCTAAACTTCTATTTCCGTCCATATTGCACACACGCAAGCATTTGCCTTGTTTACTGTAATTCCTTCATCGTCACTAGTAGAGATACTAAATTGCGCAGATTTTCGACGGTAGATGTTGAGGATACAGGGGCATATGGATGCCTTCATTGCGCATTATGCTATGTGCTGTCTTTGACGCTTTGGATGTTGTTACGGCCAGCGCCCTGCTACTTGTACCTCTTCCTGATAGCAGAACATGAGATGCGGATATCCTAACGTAGCAACGATGAGAATTTGTTCCCATTCCGTAGGCAGGCGTATGGCAACTACTGTGATAAGCATGGCCGAATGAGTATGCGAGCCCCTACGCGTAGCATTGTACACTACCCAATACATTCCGAGCTACCTCAAGAGACAGTCACATGTGAGCGGAGAAAGCACAGATGCATGAGCAACAATGAGGACTGCCAGTACTACTGTGTGATCTGAGTCATTGAATGCCGTCTTTCAAATCTAGCCTATGGCGATCTACTTCGCACTCCCAATAGTCATCGACAGCATTACATCCACCACTTTCCATCGTCCTCGATAATAACGCAAGCTCTGTTGTTGAAACTAGATCCTATCCTTCCATTCCCCTACGAAAATAACACATGATCTGTTGTTGAAACTAGATCCTATCCTTCCATTCCCCTACGCTGTCCTTCCACCTTTGCTGACCAGCGTGTCCAAGACTTGGGGCAAATCTTAGTCAAGCGGCTCCCGCTGAAGGGTGGCGACGTCTGACATGCTCGCCAAGCTTGTCTTTCCGAGAGCTGCTGTAGCTGCAATCCTGGAAATGACACTGGAAGACTTTGGAACCAGCTTGGTGGATCTTGGCGTGGCGCTCTAGGTCGGACTGACGACCGAAGGTCTGATGGCATTCTCTGCACATTGGACGCGGCGGAATTGGCGGTCCAATGTCGAAAGGAACGAGATTGATATTGGACGCGGGAATGGGGAACGGGTTCCCTGCTCCGATCTGTCCGTTATTGTAAAAGGTGGCTCCCGTGAGAACGGTGTTGTTGCCAATGGATGCGGCGTTGGAAGCAAAAGGTTGCTCGAGATAGCGAGACCGGTCCGGATTATGCCAATGAGCAGCAGGAATGTCGTTATTCCAGGAGTCTGCAAGCGCTGGGCTTAGAAGGTCGACCGGACCCGTACCGAAGACGTGAGGCTGGTCGGAGAAGGGACTCTCAACAACGCGCAAGTGATCAGACCACTCGAAAGGAGCAGCGATGTGCTTGTTTGGCAGGCCTGCAGCTGGTGGTCCCTGTGCGCGAGTGTTGGTTACAGCGCAAGGTGCATAGCCGTTGTTGTTATTGTAGTCGTTGACAACAGAATGGTCTCCCACCGAGTACGGCAGCCCCGAGTAATCGAACGAAGCGCCGAAATGGCCTTCTGAAGAGCCTGCAACTGAATGAAACTGTGGGGTATATGTGCCAGATTTACTCGCAACAGCAGTATCATCGTTGCAGGCGATGTCGACAGCAAAAGTGTTTTGGGGCAAACGTGAGGTGCCAGAAAATGTATGGACGCCATTATGTTGTTCCAGGAGCTCCGAGGTCGAAAAAGAAGCTTCGCATCCCGCATACAGGCACACATATTGATTCGCCCAGACCTCACGGGCTAATCGAATGCACGTGTTGAGCCTGACGGTCAAATTAATAAAAAAAAAAAAAACCTACCCGGGCTGAGCTGCGGCTAAGTCATGCATATATGCATCTTGCTGCAGTCTCGGCACGAGATTGGTCCGTCCTTCTTCCATGGCGCTATCGGGCGTCGAGAGCGGCTGAAGCAGGGCGTTGTCGTCGCAGGAACGGGGCGCTCTTCGTGCAGAAACGGGGCGCTCTCCGTGCAGGAACGGGGCGACCAATGAAAAAGATGGTCGATTCGGTCGTCAAATCAGAGGGTGCAAAGGTAGCAGTGGTGTCGAGCAAACCCTTTGAAAGTCGTTGGGGGAACCCTGAGCTCTTGTAGAAGTTGTCTCACCTCCCCTGGGGGCGAAGTAGCTCCTGAAAGTTTTACCAGCAACAGATGCAGGTCCATACAGGCGTCGTCCAATCAGGACTCGACACTCAAGATAGGGCAAAGAACCTACCGCCCCTTCTCAGAAAGAAAAGGGGCCTGCCTCGGGAGGAAGGACCATCAAAGAATGCTAACATCGGCTGCTGCAGGCTAGCAGCATCAGCTTTTCTCTCCTTGCGAGCCCTTTGGCTCGCCGCTTTCAATTGCTTCAGCGGCCATCTCATCCGTCATCTTCTCCTCACCGCTCTCCTCGTTATTTGTAGAGTTACCTGCAATTTCCGCATCTTGCTCCTGCTGTTGCCCTTTCTCTTCTGGCCCCAAATCCCTCCTTCTAATTCCCCAACCGCCTCTCCACCCCACCCAACCCTTCTCCCAGGGCCCCCTCGCAAAACAGAAGCACAAAGCCGCTCCAATAAAGCCCACGCTAGCACTTCCACTTTTGTGCCATCCCCCTTGCGCATACAGCGTATTCCCCACGGATGTTCCCACAATCTGGCCAATGAACACGCTGACCATGAAAGCTGTGTTGACTCTGTTCCTCGCCTTGGGTTCAATCGCATAGATCGCTGTTCGATTGGCTATCTGACTCGTTTGTAGCCCAAGGTCGATCATGAAAGCTTGGATAATTGGGCCTGCGATGGTAAAAGTGCCTGTGTATGTACCGATTGAGATGCCGGCAATGCAGATGAATTCGCCGATGATAGTGGAGAACAGTGGCACGAATCTGTCGATGACGAGGCGTGAATACGGAGGACCGAAACACATTGCGAAGATGCCAATCAGAGCAAACAAGCCTATATACAACGGACTAAAATTGTAAGGCTCTCCAGCAAGAAGGAAAGTCAAGGTCGTCCAGTAAGAAGTAAAAGTCGTAGACGTACAAAACCCCACCAGACAGGCCTGCATGAGGACAGGATGTTTGAAGAGCATTGTGACGATACTCCATAGCATCTTGAAATAGTTGAGGCCATTGGGGTTGGTACTGGGGTAATCGGGCAGAAAGAACCAAAGGAGGATAAAGATAAGATACTGAAGAGCAAAGGCCAGCCAGTAGACGTTGCGCCAGGAGGTATATTCGGTGACGACGCCGGAGAGAACACGAGCTATGAGGATCCCGAGGAGGAGGCCGGAGACTACGATCGAAAGAGCTGTTGCGCGCCGATGCGCCGGGGCGAGGTCGCCGACGAGGGGAAGCACTGCACAGTCGTCAACATGGGATCACTCGCGAAGTTCGAATTTGTGTACGTACTCAATTGCGGTGTCACAGTCGTCAAGGCCGTAAGGAACGAGAGAAAGCAGAATACAGGAAACGAATTCGTAATGCATAGTCCTATCCTTGAAGCCAACAGTACCATCAGCATAGATGTTACGAAGATTCAAACGCCAACACATGGATCTACTCACCAAGAAGTAGCCGTAAACCACACCAAAAGTAGAACGAAAGGCCTTCTTTGAA